CTGCCTCTAATATGTCTCTGACTAGACCTTCATGCCTGAGAAGGTGTCCTACCAACCTATCTCGCCTATTTTTTATTGACTTCCATAGAGTCCTCTGTTCTCCTATTCTTTCCAATACCTCTTCATTTCTAACCTTCTCTATCCACGATATCCTCATCATCCGCCTATAACACCACATTTCGAACGCTTATAATCTTTTCGCACCCGTACAGCGCCGCGCTCCTAACATACACCTTTAACAATCTTTTTCGAATTTCTAAATTAATCGTTCCCAGGCATGGAAGTGAGTTCTTTTTATTAAAGGCAACACGACCCTGCGCTATCCTCTGCTTTATATCCCTACTATTCCTTCCGTCCTGACTTCCTAGATACCTAAAATCAGCCACTTCTTCCAATCTTTCGTCTCCTAACTTTAATGTCGCGTACAAGTTCATCATTTCTCGACGACTCCTTGTACATATCCAAGCGTCCGTTAATAATCCTATGATTATCCTTTAATTGCCATCAAGGCTGTTATTGAAACCCTATTATAATAGACGTACGTATGCAGATTGTTACAAACAGATCAATAAAAATAGGGCTGCCCAACATTGTACTTAAATAGTTCGTTTATTTATTTACTACTATGTACAGAAATGCTACAAAACGAAATGAATAGATAACAAAATTCTTTTTTCCTTTTAAAGTACAGAATCAATAACAGTAATAATAAAATCGAGAAACTAGTTCACAGTAGATATTTATTTATTTTGGGAATGATTAAAAGGTGGCTTGTCGTTATCAACAAAATAATATTGCGCAAACAAATAAATCGAAAATCTACGTAATTCTTCTGTAAAACAAGTGAAGTTTGCTTGGACATTGACAATAATTGAGATGAGAATTTCGTACAAAAATTTTCTTAGACACTAAACGAGGGTTTAACATTAAAAATATTACATTATTAATACATTGGGATCAACGGCTATAATATCAAGTATTGCCATTATAAAAATTTATCACGATGCTTGGTCGTTTTTTATTTTTATTATTTATATCTCTTGAATGGTAATCGCCATTTACATATATATATATATATACATAATATCATGTGGGTGAAAACGGTGCGATTTTGTTTGATGCGTACAGGTATTTACAAGGAGAATGTCGAATCCGTGNTATATGCCTCAATGTGCAACAGATAATATTAAACTAGCAATGGGTAAAAGAAAACAAATTCGAATATGGGGTGGGGCATGATCCTAATGAAACTCGTAAATTAAGTTAATACATTTTTAATATTCACTGTACAATTTGTTTCTTTTGTGAAAGCTATGCTAATTCCTATGGTATCAGTCTTCAACGATTCGAAACGCTTTTACGCTAATCCATCCCTAATTATCTAATTAGTAGCTGGTCTTAATAGCATGGAGCAAAACAAAACTGTTTAAAAGAAAGTAAAGCTGTAGCGGATGTTTTTTTCCTCTTTTGACTAGAAATTATAAAATAAATTCAGGAAGTTGTTGATCCGTTTCAGAAACAAAGGATTATACGGTTTTGCAACAATGAAATGGTTTGTTTTGCGTTACAGGTGTATTTGTGGAGAAAGTTTACAGAAAATAGAATAAAAAAATACTTGACAATTGTAAACTAACGACATTCGTTTGCATAATTAATATATCTAATTAAAAATTGGTTAAACACAAATTTTTCCCTTAACACAAATTGCAAATAATTTTATTGGTGGTCTGTTTGTGGGGTTTTACAGACATAAAAAGTTAAAAATCACGTAGCAACACTAAGACAGCTCAATTAAACTAATAGGCCAAATAAATAATAATTTAATTAAACGTACTTGTATGAATACCATCTGTTATTGTACCGTTTTGACAAGTACTTTGAAGATACTCTTCGTAACTGTTACAAAATAGATGCATGCATACATATATAAGAATATATATAATTAGGTAGTGTAATAAATTTTAGACGTTTTTTAAATAGTACCTACAGTATACAGTAATAAAATTAAAAGAATACGCTTTTAATTATTTCAGTTGTTTTGGTGAGTGCAGAGTTATTGGTTATTATCATATAAACATTTAAAAGCATTTTCCTTTCATTTTATTAGTACATTTGAAAAATGGTTCATAAATTCATCATCAAGGAGTTTATTTTGCATTGGCATCCTAGATTTTTCAATTTTTCCATTAAAACAATCAGTTGTTTCAATTGTTACGAGCTGTATCTGTTCTACAAGAACAATAAAGAAAAAACAAATTGTCTGAGCCACCGCAGATACAACAATAAAAAGCAAACCTTAGCGAAACAGTTACGGTAATAATTGTTCTGGCTGACTGTTACAACCAGCAATTTTGATGTGGGTAGAAAAGGAAAAGTTGACAAATCACATTGAACAGGTGCACTTAGTTAAGGTTTGGGTTTGGCTTCCTTTCTTTCGAAATAAGAGATTCTTTTGTTTTCAAATATCGATTAAGGTGTCAATGGTCTTTTTTCCTCTTCTAGCTGAGAAACCATCTTGACAAAAGGAAATCTCAAATCGGAAAAGTTGCACAGATAACATTAATCAGTTAATTAAACAATTATTTATTGTATAAAATGTAAAACAGTTAATTTTGTACAAAACAATTTTTTTTTATTGAAACTAAATAATAAATGGGCAAATACAAATTTTATTTTTTAACGATTTGTACGTTTTTTCCAAATTCCGTGGATCCTTGACTTTTCATCAAAAAGACTCCTGACCATTAAGACTTGTATAAGTCCGGCTGCTAACATCACCGCCATTTGAACTACCGAATACGTGTTAACTAAACCAAGTTTCCTTTCAACGAGGTACTTCTCCCAATCTTCCCGTTTTTTGAATAGTTTTTGTGAATACCGTATCTGTCCTACATTGAGTTGTAGTTTCGTTATCGTTTGTTTTAAATCGGCTATCGAAACATGATAATTTTGTTCTTCAGCTGCATATTGGATAGTTGCGGTCTTTGCTAAATCGGACCCTTCTTCTATAAAGTACTGGAAACTAACGGTTTTCGTGTGCAATTTACTGTGTGAATTATCGAAGCATAATTTGTATTCTCCGACACTTTGTGGTACGAGGTTTATGCTACTGGTTTTAGTTCTTTTGTTTTCGATCAGTTTATTACCGAGAGGATCGAGGACTATGAAGTTTACGTCTAAGTCTCCTTTACCTCCGTCCTTGACGTGGTACGTGATGTTGACGATCTGACTGGGCTCCCAAATTTCACAAAAGCAAATGTCTCTCTTCGCTTCAACAAAGAATGTAAGTTCTGTCACTTTTTGCGAAAAACATAACACTAACGATAAAACAAATGAAATTACGAAAAACAACAACGAAATAGCTTTTTGTTTCATCATTTGCAGCGGACTAAATTTGAAGCGGCGCTTGTTTCGTTAGTACTATCAGCCGGTGATAAGTTATAATTAGTTAAAATTAACAAGTGCAAATATGATACGATATACTTTGCCAATAATTGTTTTACTTATCAAAAAATTGTACAAATTTATCAAGAACTAAAGCGAAGGCTAAATTATTTTGTTCTCCATATCTTGTGTATTCTGGATCTTTCGTCAAACAGACTTCTTATCAAAATCACTTGCACAACCCCAGCGAACAGCATTACGACCAACTGAGCCGCCGAAAATTGATTGATGGTAGAACTTTTCCTTTCTATGATGTAGTTGTCCCATGTCTCTGTCATCCTGGACTGTCTCTGAGAAATTCTGACTGCGGCCAAACTGTAATCGACTTTATCCACAATTTCCAAAAATTTATCGGGAAGTCCAACATTGTCTTCTGGTTGAAATTCATACGAAGCTGCTTCACCTGTATCTCCGTTTAAGTCAAAAAACTCAAAATAGACGATTTTGCTGTTGACGCTGCTGTGGGAGTTGTCGAAACAGAATATGTAATCACCATCAAGGGTTGTAGAAATTATTGTGTTTTTCCCTCTTTGTTTCAGATCATTTATCATCAATGCACCGTTAGGATCAAATAGCACAAAACTGATATCGAGCTCGCCTTGACCTCCGTGTTTGACGTAATATGTAAAACTTACACTTCGGTTTCGACTCCATTCGTGATGAAAACAGGACTCCTGTTTGGGATCAACCCGAATTGCCATCTCCCACATTTTAAACGATTCTGAGAAACTTATTAACAAAAGAAATAGCAACAGAATCATTTTAGCAATTAGACTATTGTATTTTGAAAAGTTTATAACGACTAACAGAAGGTCTCCAGTTGAAAACGTTTTATCTAGCAATGATAAAGACAAAAAATAATCGAGTACCTTGATTTTGATAACATATAACGAAATATTTAAACCAATTAATACGAAAACTCTTAAGAAAAAGTTTAAGGTATCTTTCAGAAAAAAAAAAAAAAGTTAGACTTCTTCATCCAAAATCCATTATTATGTAGGTACCTACATGTACTGGAAGATTAACTTTGATGGATAATAAAATAAAAAATACACTTCAAAACGTAATGTGTTTTTTAAAAATCACCTTTTCTACTATATCCTATTAAACTAATCTAATCTTTCCTGATTTTCGTAATCATTTGTAAATAACTGCACCGGCAACTATACACGACGTTAAAATCTCCAGGGGAAATTCGTGGCTCCTTTGTTTTTGTTTTTAATTAGAATCTGCTTGATTACATTAGTCAAGTGATTACTTTTCCAGACGTGATATGTAAAAGCTGTTGTCTGTGATCTTTTTTGCATAGATCCGCTTGCAATTGAAAAGCCTTTGTATGACCACCCCATATCCTGTCCTAAAACCGGATGGACCTACACCTACGTGATCGACATCGTTACAAGTCAGCGACAACAATAAAAATCGTGTTTTGTCATAAATAAAACAAACACAATCCTTTATCGCGATTACCAATTGTTATCGTTGACAACATGGCCGAAGACAGTGTATTTACATGTTTGTAGGTGATAGGTAGGCGTAAAAATGATACAATTACAATCCGGATTTTTTTTAATACTCAAAAAATGATAGTGGCAACCTGATAAGAACTGTCTGTGATTAACGCATAAAATGACATTCTATATTACAAAAAATATACCTAATGAGGATTTTATTAAAATAAACTTTAATTTGTTTGCATGGTTCTGTCTCCCTTAAACTTAAAAAATTTCAGTAGTATGAAGTAATAAAGTCTGATAAAATCTAATCACAAGTAAACGGATTGTAAAGCATAAACGACATTGAAAGTAAAAAGCAATTGGAAAATTTGCAACTTTCATGTAACAATTTTAAACAGTAATTACTAACTTATTGCTTATGCAATGTATTCAGGGAACTTGAAGCACCAATTAGCGGAAAATCTAGATGTGTGTGTTCTAATACGTAGCAGTTGTTCAAATATGACATAAGCATTAGCGGTAAGCGTGTATACGTGTGGGTAGTTGATTAACAAATACAATTATCGTTTAATATCGTTCGCCAAAATATGTTAGTAAATAGATAAAAAAAACAGAAACAAAATTACCCCTTAATATTTAATGGGAACCGGCAGTTTCGAGAAAAAAAAAGACAGTTCAGAACTCACCTTCAAACAAAAAAAAAAGAAAACACCAACTTTTGTTTTAAAAAAGAAAGTCGCAAAAAAAAGACGACGACAAATAACGCGTTTTTTATCCTAAACCACCTGTCGAAATTCACAATTCATTTCATTGTTCGCGGAACGTACATAACTAGTTATTTGGTTTCTCTCAGGTGAGTTGTTACCTGTACGAAACAGCTTTAGACACCTCCGATACGCATGCGTCCGCCGAGAGGATAACCACCTTGGTTTTCATTTTACAGGCTTAGCGAAACAAAACCGCTTTTGAGAGACAATTATCCGCTCTTCGGTACCATAACTGTTTCGTCTTTGAAACGCCTCCTTCAAAAAGCTTTCTCTTCCACATTATTAATGTCTAGTACGAAAAGTACCGTGTCTTCTTTATACCGGGTCTGATCAAAAAAAAAAAACAACAGTTTTTTCCTCTTGAATGGGCTAAGGGTGCGCCGCACTAGGTACTGCACCGAGCGGCATGGCCTAGAGGTCTAGACCATTGCTTAGCATTCGGGAGGACTCCGGTTCGATTCCGGGTCCGTCTGCCTTGGTCCATGTTTTTCTGTGGTTTTCTTGGATCACTTAGGCAAATACTGAGGCACTTTCTTCTGTCTTCATTTCGTCCGTCTCATCTTCCTCACCCGAACCACCACCCACCCATTCCCATGATTCCTGAAAGCAGACTGAAGAGGGCCTTCCGCTCTACCTTCCGGCATAGTCCGGAGGGACTGCCCGCCCACCAGCATTACTGGCTGGTGGGAATGAAACACCTGCTACATGAAGGGTGGATCGCCACATGGGCCAAAACTTTCAATTCATAGACCTTGATCAGCCCGCGCCTCTTTACGCCAAAAATGGAAAGTATTTCCTTTAAAGAAAACCTAAAAAGCTCGATATAGGCTCATAAAAAATGGCGATTCGTAATTAGATAAATTCCTTTGAAGGGATTAAAAAAAGCAAAAACTGTAGACCAGGAATCTCGCTTCGTTGAAAGATCCTGGCTAACTGATTTAGACGCATTTTGTGAGCTTTTAGATCCACTGCAAACAACACCAAAGTAAGTAAAGCGTCCAAAAACTCTTCAAGTAAATGTAGTGTCAGTAGGCTCTGATATATCCTGTTCCGGGTAAATATTGTTGCGTCATCATCACAAAGTCGTCAGTTCTAAGACTGGTTGGACACGCACCTCCACTCTTTCCTATCCTGAGCTAATCTTCGCATTTTCCTAAAACTAGAACAGCCCACATCCTTAACTATTTGCGAACAGTAATCTAATATAGGTCTACCTCTACCCCTCCTAACTCCTGTTTCTGCCTTTAATATGTCTCTGACTAGACCTTCATGCCTGAGAAGGTGTCCTACCAACCTATCTCTCCTATTTCTTATTGATTTCCATAGAGTCCTCTGTTCTCCTATTCTTTCTAATACCTCTTCATTTCTAACCTTCTCTATCCACGATATCCTCATCATCCGCCTATAACACCACATTTCGAACGCTTATAATCTTTTCGCACCCGTACAGCGCCGCGCTCCTAACATACACCTTTAACAATCTTTTTCGAATTTCTAAATTAATCGTTCCCAGGCATGGAAGTGAGTTCTTTTTATTAAAGGCAACACGACCCTGCGCTATCCTCTGCTTTATATCCCTACTATTCCTTCCGTCCTGACTTCCTAGATACCTAAAATCAGCCACTTCTTCCAATCTTTCGTCTCCTAACTTTAATGTCGCGTACAAGTTCATCATTTCTCGACGACTCCTTGTACATATCCAAGCGTCCGTTAATAATCCTATGATTATCCTTTAATTGCCATCAAGGCTGTTATTGAAACCCTATTATAATAGACGTACGTATGCAGATTGTTACAAACAGATCAATAAAAATAGGGCTGCCCAACATTGTACTTAAATAGTTCGTTTATTTATTTACTACTATGTACAGAAATGCTACAAAACGAAATGAATAGATAACAAAATTCTTTTTTCCTTTTAAAGTACAGAATCAATAACAGTAATATCGAGAAACTAGTTCACAGTAGATATTTATTTATTTTGGGAATGATTAAAAGGTGGCTTGTCGTTATCAACAAAATAATATTGCGCAAACAAATAAATCGAAAATCTACGTAATTCTTCTGTAAAACAAGTGAAGTTTGCTTGGACATTGACAATAATTGAGATGAGAATTTCGTACAAAAATTTTCTTAGACACTAAACGAGGGTTTAACATTAAAAATATTACATTATTAATACATTGGGATCAACGGCTATAATATCAAGTATTGCCATTATAAAAATTTATCACGATGCTTGGTCGTTTTTTATTTTTATTATTTATATCTCTTGAATGGTAATCGCCATTTACATATATATATATATATACATAATATCATGTGGGTGAAAACGGTGCGATTTTGTTTGATGCGTACAGGTATTTACAAGGAGAATGTCGAATCCGTGCCAGCAATTGGAAGAATTAACAAATTAATTGTTAAATAAATAATCTTGAAAATAACAAAAATATATATCGTAGATAAAAATGAAAAATTCTTCCAATTTGGCACGTGCTATTTCAATAGCTACGCTTGTTTCGGATGGTTGATGGTCGCAACAGTCTGGGGTGTCTTGAACCACTGCAGCAAGAAGGCAGTGTATGTAACAAAAGCAATGCTTATTGCCAATAGAGCGTACATGAAGATGTTCAATTCGGGCTGACGAAATCTGTTTTTCCGTAACCAATCGAGAACATCCCTTTCGGCACGCAGATTCCCGCGGTAAATACTGGGGAATCTTCTTCTGAAGAAGACCAACGAAGGTAGATGGGTGACTCCCCATTTCCTAGCATATCTGGCGTCGGCCATCTTCACAAACGTGATGTCAAAGTTGTCCGTTTCGCTGTCGATGTTTTCTAAAATTTCTAGCACTTTTTTGCTTTCTTCGGAATTTGCTTCATCTGAAAATTATTGTTGTAAGTCAATATTCAACCTATATTCTGGGAAGGAAGGACTTGTAGTTCAATGGTAATAAAAAACTTACAGAAGAATACTGTGACATATTCATTTTCTTCCAGTAATTTGTCCAGCATCTTCCTGTTGACCTCCTCTATTTCATTTTTAATTTCTATGACGTCCAGTGACGTGAGCCAATCGAGAACCCGATTGGCTTGCATCAAATCCCCGTCGTAGACCATCGGGACCTGTTTCCGAAAGTAGACCAGCGTTGGAAGATTGTGGAATCCATAATTCGCTGCAGCTTCCCCGCTACAAATCTTCACGAAGTCGATCCCAAATAGATCTGCTTCCCCGTCTATTTCTTCCAGCTGTTCCAGAATCTCTTCGCATTCCGGACAGTTTTCGTCGTCTGAAAAAGAGCATCGTCGGAATGGTCGTTTCGGGAATGAAGATGTACTACTACTTACAGAAAAATACTGCAAGAAATGGCGACTCCTTCAATAATCTTGTTAACATCCTTTCGTTGACGGCCTCGATTTCATCAGCCAGTTCGCGATTATCGTCATCCGTCAGCCATTCTAAGACGGAAAGATGGTTTTGAAGATCCCCTTCGAATAGCAGAGGATTCCCATTTCGAAAATATACCAAAGCAGGAAAGGTTTTGATGCTGTATCTCTTCGCGAGTTGGGGATCCATTATCCTCACCAGCTGAATCCCGTACACGTCGCATTCGTCGTCAATTTGCTCCAGGTTTTCTAGTATCTGTTCGCAAACGTGGCAGTTCTCTTTGTAGAAGTAGACAGCAAGGTACTGCGTGTCTTCGACCATACTCTCGAGCATCTGACGGGTGATGAGTTCGATGCGGTCTTCAGTTTTCTGCTGGATCAGCCACTGCAACACCTCCTCTTCCTCGCTGAGGTCTCCCTCGAAGATACCACCGATGCCCTTTTCGAAATACATCAAAACGGGGTAATTCGTGGCCCCGTACTTCTCGGCCACTTTGATATCTTGAGTTTTAATGAAGTTGATGCCGTGTTTTTCGCAATCGTCGTCGATATTTTCGAGTTCTTCGAGAACTTCGGCGCACTGGGCGCACTCTCCGCTATCTGCAATCACACACGTGGGTAAGAACGGATAAAATGTGACGAAACAGCAGTCAAGTAGGTACGCCAGTTTCAAAAACCAAAAAAAAAAAAATGGAAAGCACTAAATACACCAACAGGTTCACCCCAAAAAAAATGTGTACGGGAGAAAACCAGGTGTGAAAAATGCCAATCACCCCCCAACAAAAAGATGTTGTTGTAATGTACATTCGTTCTTCGTTGAAAGTCAAGTGGGAGGTATGACAAAAAAAACTTCAGTTTCGTATTTTCTATAACTAAGTACTTGATTAACTTGAAGCATGGAAGGGTTGTGTACTACAGAGGGTAATGCTTGGCCATCAAATGTTTTCATAATTCATGCTCGCACAATATATACTGGTGTGATACAACATCTATGTACTTGTAGGTATGTGTAATTCCTAGTATACAAAATTCGTCTGTTGGGGCAGGCAAGAATAGAGGGTAGAGGGAGGTTTTTTATTGCGCCTATTATATATATATATATATATATGTCTTTTTGATTTGGGGAAGTTATCTACAGCTACAAACTGTTTTTTTTTTGTTTTGTTATGAATATTTAGATGTATCTAAATACCATGTTGGTCTTCTCGCGACTCTTCTTCAGATTCTTTGGACTTCTTTTGGCCCCCTCTCCTCTTTTGTTCGCGGGCCTTACATTCATCGCATAACGTCTTGTTCCCTATATCATTGGACATTAGATAGATAGATCAGACACCAACGTCAATTACCTATTCTATTCCAAAATTGGAATGCCGCAAAAGGAGATATAGCACATGTCAAAAAAAATTGATGCATGGTTTAGTTCTTCTTCTTGTAATTGTTGTAATTGGTAACGCAACTGTATTCCAGATATTGTTTCAGTCCCAAATGGTTTGAACACAGGCTTGCATCCTACTCTAGTCGTATTATATTACTGTATAATACAAAGCTTTGGCATCGGTTTAGTGTTACTAGTAAGACCTGCTTTTGCGACACTCTCTCCGTTAAGTTAACTGCGTTTTATGATACTTACAAAAATATACAGCTAGAGCTTCCTCCTCTTCGATCAATTTAACTAATTCTTCACCTTCTATTTCTTCTATAACGTCTCCGGATGGGTCTTTCTGAGTTAGGAGCCATTGCAAGATTTGCTGTTCGTCGTACAAGTCTCCGGCATATATAACCGGCTCTTTTGATCCCATTTTGAAGAAAAGTATGGCAGGCAATGCAAAAACTCCAAACTCTTTCGCCATTCTCTTGTCGTCTATCTTCACGAAATTGATTCCTGCAGCATCGGCTTCATCGTCGATGTGTTCCACTTCGGTCAATACTTTCGGGCATTGTTTGCAATCGTCACTGTCTGGAAAATATCGACAAGTAATTGTTTAAAACTTCATGAATGAATTGTAGGGTTCGTACATAGAAACACAGCGAGATAGTCTGATCTTTGTCTTATCCTGTCGAACATTTTTCTGTTTACTACTTCTATGTGGTCTGTAAGTTCCATGTTTTCTGGGTCCGTCAGCCAGTCCAAAACCTCTTCCTCGTCATCTATGTCCCCATCGTAGTTTATTGGTTTCCCCTTTCTAAAATACGTGATACCAGGTGGTTGTCTAAATCCATACTTCTTGGCCATCAACCTGTCTCTCATTTTGACTATTTTTATACCATATTCAGCTGCTTCGTCGTCTATCAGTTCCAAATGTCTCAGGATTCTGGGACTATCGGGATCTTCTTCTTTATCTAAAGCACTTTATTATTTAGAAAATTTGTATTAATCAGAGAAAAATGTCGAATCTTACAAAAAATCACTGCGAGGAACTCTTTCGTGTTTATATATTCGAATAAAGTGTCTCTCGTAATTTCATCGATACTTTCGTCATTTTTCTGGGTAGTCATCCATTCCAGAACTTCGGTTTCGTCTAGTAAATTGCCTAAGGAACATCACCATATAAAATCGTAATCAAATTAATTAAATAAAACGTAGATTACAACTTACTTCTTCCAAATTTCCCGAATCCTCTTCCAATCTGTTGTTTCGTTACTCAAACTTTTGAATAAAGAAACAAAAGATCACAAAAGGATACGTCAAAAGTTTGGAAGGATTTTAAGTCCACTTAATGCATCCGACTGAGGAGTTTTGGAATGGCTGTAATACAATCGAAAGTAAGAAAATTCTCAACTTACCTATCCTTTTGTGTTTTGTTTGTTTATGTTCCATTATTTGTTTTAATAATAATAGTTGCAGAGTGGTACAATAAAAACAGTTTATTGTGACTTATTAGATTAGATACAATTTGTCTGTTCTTTTTTTTTTAATGAAAAAAAATGAACTGCGAGGTGTGCGGCAGTGACTGACTTAAGCGGCATTTTAATTTAGTTAAGAATCCCTGAATCCAATCCTGTCCACAAAAGAATATGATACGCGAAAGCAAGATCGATATTACTGATCGATTTTCGATAATACAATAATAATAATAGTAATAATTGCACCCAGGGATCATTCTTATACTTACTTAGTTAAGTATGAACAAATAAACAATAATATAAGAATAATTATGATAACAATGATGTACAATATTTACATGCAAATTATAATTGCGTAATGTAACGTATTAATTAATAAATAGGTAATGTCTTTTTTTTGTTTTGTGTTGCAAATAAAGCGAATTATAAGAACGAAATGAATACGAATATGTAACGCAGAGATAGAATTAGATAGAGAGAAATAGAGAGAGAAAGAAAAAAAAAACAAAATCCACGATACGATAAAAGAAACAAATTAATAATAATAAATTAAATATTTCATTAGCACTACTAGTCTTTCATATCAGCTTCAGACTCTGAATGCTCATGCCCATGGACATTCCTCGACATCTACCACCACCAAATATATTTACCGGTACCGAAAAACCCCTTTTTCCCTTTGCCCTTTTCCTGTTTTCCTCCTGTTTGTATCGGTTGTTGTTTCATTCCTTTCGGATTACTTTTCGACGACGATTCCCTCGGGTTCTGCTGCTTCACGGGTTCCGGCGCCTTCAGCCCTATTTTCGGCAAACTTTTGTTCACCGTCTTCGCGTCTTTCCTGACCTGGGTGAGCGGTCTCGGGCTGTCTTTTGTTTTCTTATGCACGACCTGCTTCAAGGTGGAAGTGGACGTGGCTTTGGCAATTTTAGTTCCCTTGTCCGGATTTGAAGGACAACACTGGTACGGTTCGAAGGTAGGATTACGTTGCTGGCCGGCGCCGCCTCCCAGACCCACGTAGAAGCAACCGCCATCGCCTGCATCAGGAAACATAATGTCAGAATTCACTATAAGCTGTTTATATAAAGAATATTGAATTAATGAAACGCAAATGGCAACTCAGCAGTTAGTACGATATTTAAAATAATGAGACAGTACAATTATAGAATCTATGTATGTGTGTAATATAAATGGGGAGCGAATGTCTGACACTATGCCCTGCATGCAGCATTTGGAGGAAGAGGAGACATGCACAAATATTGATAGGGACGACCGCTCCTCAGCAGCAGGAGTCGATTTATGTTTTATTTTCTCGTGGGAGATCTACCAATTACAACACCGTTCAGTATTCTGGTGTTCTACCGAAGCAGCTATGAGAATTCCTGAGGATTACCTGCCACGAACGGGTTGAGTACTTCACCATTTACCGACCCCTCGTCATCGTCATCGTCATCGCTATCGAGATCGTCCTCTGAATCATCGTCTTCGCTATCACGATTGTCATTTGCAAGACGACGTCCGCGACCAACATGACGAGACTCATCATCATCGTCTTCATCAGAACCGTCGTGGTCATCATCGTCGTCGTCGCTATCGTCTTCTTCTTCGTTGTCCGAACTCCCCTGGTCACCTAAGACATCACGCTAACATGCAGCACCCATGCAATCTCATCACACACTTCGCCGAAGCAAAGCAGCGAAATATTAGTACAAAAAAATATACGTATTATGCTCATCATTGGAACCGATTCCGAAACAGATAGAGAGAACAAAATTAAGGAATGAATGTGTATGTACCACATGATACGATATTATTATTATTTAACAAGGTTAAGAGTGTTTTTTTCTTACTTTTCTGATTAACCAGCCATTCCAGAACTTTCTCTTCGTTTTTCAGATTCCCTAGAAAGTAACCCATTATCAAATGTAACAGAATTGGTAGCGTCGGTTAGTTGAAAGAATATGAAATTTAATTGTCCGTTTGTTTGCCGATTGCGCGTGTGAATATTTACCGTCATACATTATGGGAACTCCAGTTTCATAGTAAACCAGCGCTGGGAAGCTGAAAATTCCGATTTCCGAGGCAAGTTTGGCATCGTTGGACTTCACGAATTGGATTCCGTGCTTGTCAGTGTCATCGTCGATGTTTTCTAACTCCTCCAAAATCTCGTCGCATTCTTTACACTTCTCGTCGTAGAAAAACACAGCAAGATGGTCAACATCATTTATCAGAACCTACGTAAACATCATTCTTCCTATTAACTAGAAACGTCCAACTTGAAGGAGCCGTATACTTACTTGAAGAGTTTTCCTGTCAACACTTTCTATCACGTCTGGAGCTGAATCTCTCAGGTCTAAAATCCATTCCAGAATGGCTTCTTCGTGCATGAGATCTCCTTCATACAAATTCCTGAATCGATTCCTGTAAAATGCTAGAGCAGGTAAGGATGGAAGGTCGTATTCCTTTTGGATTCCGTGATCAGAAGTTTTTATAAAGTCGATTCCCTTTTCTTCACATTCGTCGTCGATGTTCTCCAACTCTTGCAAGATCTTCTGGGACTTCTTATCCCCTTCTTTGTCTAAAAATAAACCGATTAATATTATTGCATTATATCTATCAAAAGAAGCTACCTACAAAAGAACACTACCACATAATCTTCTTCGGTTAAAATTTTGTCCAGCATCTTCGTGTTCACTTCTTCGATTTTGTCTGGGATTTCGAGTGTGTCTTCATCAGTAATCCAAGCAAGCACCTCATCTTCGTCCTCTATGTTGCCAGTGAATATCAGGGGTTCCTTATTTCTGAAGAATACAATTTTTGGGAAGCTCTTGATGCCGTTCTTCCTTGCAAAGCCCAGATCTTCCGTGGTGACAAACACAATTCCGGTTTCGTCGAGTTCATCGTCGATATTTTCGAGTTCTTCGAGAATGTCATCACACTTGTCTCCTTCGTCGCATTTTCCACTGAAATAAACGACAACGTACTCGTGCTCTTCGATAAGATCTTCGAGAATTTCGTCTGTTACTTCTTCAATTGTCGCTGTATTCTTTTGTTCAATGAGCCACTTCAATACTTCATCTTCGTTCATCAAGTCGCCTTCGTACAGTGCTGGGATTTTATCTTCATAATACACTAAAGTTGGAAGATGATCTATCCCCAGTTCTTTAGCTTCTTCTTTGTTGTCTATGCGTACTATGACAATCCCTTCTTTCTCCAGTTCGTCGTCTATATTTTCCAGTTCGTTTAGGACCCGAATGTCTTGCTTATCGTCCTTATCATCTAAAGAGTAGGTTGTTCAAATATTATTATAGATAAGGTGTTTCAGTGTAAATGTGAACTTACAAAACAACACAGCCAAAAATTGAGTACTTTCTATCAAACGTTCCATCATTTCGTCAGTGATTTCAGGGATTTCCGAGTGTTTCTTTTGGTGCAGCAACCAACCCAGGAGGTCATCCTCCTTCATCAAATCGCCCTCGTAAAGATGAGGAATCTTCCTTTCGAAGAAAACCAACGTCGGAATAGTGTCGATGCCGTACTCCTTGGCTTCATCATCGTCGTCGATCTTCACGAACACTATGTTGTTTTGGTCGCATTCGTCATCGATGTTTTCAAGTTCTACAAGAACTTTTTGGCTTTTCTTCTGGTCCTTATCATCTGAAACAATTTTTTGTTTCTAAATTAAATCTAAAGGTATTTATTATTGGTACTAACAGAACAAGACCGCAACGTGGGGGAATCTCGCAATGATGAGGTCCAGCATTTCGTCAGTAACATCTTCAATTTCGTCACTTTTGATCTGATGTTCCAGCCACTTGAGGACTTTGTCTTCATCTTCCAGATTGCCCTCGTACAAAGTCGGAATTCCATTTTCGAAGTAAACTAAAGCTGGAATCTTCTCGATCCCGTACTCCTTGGCTTCTTCATCGTTATCAATTTTTACGAAAACGATACCGAGCTGGTCGCACTCATCGTCGATATTCTCTAATTCGTTCAATGCTCGTTGCGATTTTCGATCGTCGTTGTCATCTAAAATTCAAAGAGATAACATAACATTTGTAGATATTCTATAAAAGGAGTTTAGACTTACAGAAGAGGACTGCAAGGGCTTTGCTTTCCTTGATCAATTTGTCTAGCATTTCATCTGTGACATCTTCTATCTCGTCTTTTTCTAGCTGCTGCACCAACCAGTCCAAGAGTTCGTCTTCATCGTCCAACTGACCGTCGTAGATGTTCGGAAGTCCTTTTTCGAAATAGACCACCGTTGGTAGGTCATCCAATCCGAATTCCTGGGCTGCTTCCTGATCGTCGATCTTCACGAACTGGATCCCATGCTTGTCGCAATCGTCATCAATCTTTTCAAGTTCTTCCAGCACTTTTGCGGACTCGTCATCGTCGTTATCATCTCCAAAATAAAGAAAGTTATTGATAGACGATTGAAACAAAAGGGACATTAATGGATTTCTTACAGAATAATACGACCAAATTTTCCACGCTGCTTATCAGTGTTGATAGGGTTTTAAATGTGACATCTTCGATAATGTCTTCATCGTCCCCTGTGCTTTTGTGTTGGACCAGCCACTCTAAGACATCTTCCTCCTTGCTCAATTCCCCTGCAATTAAATAATAACCAGATTCTTTTGGCAAAATTATGGGAAAATTTTACCGTCGTATATTATTGGTGTTTGGTGTCGATAATAGACAAGGGCTGGTAGTTCCCCTAAATTATATTCTTCGGCTAAATCTTCGTCGTTGATCTTGACGAAACCGATACCAAGTTGGTCGGCCTCGTCGTCAATATTCTCGAGTTCTTGAAGGACTTTGGAACATTTCTTACATTCGGGTTTCGCTAAAGACAAAACCGACAATGATAGATACAGAAAAAAAAATAATCGTAGAAACGTTTCTAAATACATAAATGCATCAATCTACTGAACAAAGTGTATGCATCTCTATACAATAGCTACTGTTATGGTATTTGTAGAGGCTAGCACATCATACATACTCATTCTGGATAAACTAAAGGGATATACTCCGTTATGGGAAAGGAATCGGAAACTACATGCGTACTTTAAAAGGTTTGAGAAAACGCAAATCTAATAGCAACTCTTCATTAAAAAGAATAAGGCATTTAGAAATAGAAATTATAATCCACTATTTTTTGCTATTAATTGGGCATCTATTTTTAACGAAAATGTGTTTCTGATTGGTGTCGTTTTCCATGTGGGTGAATCAAAGAAAGTATATTGCAACTTGTCTAAATAATAGTCACTGTTGTTTACATAGAAAAAATTGGCAAGCAACATTGTGACACAGCAAGCGGACTTATCCAGAGGTAATTTCATTTACATCTTTGACTAAATGGGCGACTTGGCAAATGTATTGCATTCCTAAAAGTTATTATTAATGAACAAACTGTCTAAAGGCGTCTTTTTGCGATATGTAGTTTAAATAATGACCTTAAATGTATACTGGTTAAGTAAATATGTGTAAGTTGTAATATTAAATTATTATTGCATCTCCAATATATTTTGATTTGTATGTAATTTGTCTGTTTACTGCACCTGAAGACATCTTTTTGATTTTTCCATTTCCACATTGCGTTACATAAACAATATTAGCACCTATACAAAAAGGTGAAATTCCCGATATTTCTACTAAAATTTGATGATAATTCTTAATTATTTTATACTGAAATTTAGAAAGCTATCGCGAAGCGTCAGTTTGAAGTACCTAGCGTTATTTTTGGACTGCAAAGCGTGAATTAGATGAAGCAATTTTGGTTAATTTGGCTCGAATGTCTGCGCTGATTTGACCAAACAACTATACGATGTGATACATACATTGAAATTGTACTACGCACGGACAATCTTAATTTTGAATCATGGCACTTTCAATTTCGAATCATTAATAAATATTGATATAATAATCAACGTTGGCTCGGGATTCGCTCCGTTGCACTACAATATACTTATTATTGTCAGATTTTTGTTCATACGAATTTAAAAACGATTTGTTCAAATTCGATGATTTTCTTTTTTTTTTTTTGAGATACTTTCAATTTTGATACCGTTAATTCAGTGTATTAATGAATTAATTTTTTAATTAATGTGACCCTCTACAGCTGACCTCAAATTAATGAGGAAAATTGTTACTGATGTAACTCCCGTGCCGGGATTCGAACCCGAGCCCTGGTTTTACATAGTACAATACCAATAAGCTACAAGGAGTGTCATATTAACCAGGTCGCGGGTTCAATTCCCGGCAAGAAAGCAAGAACAGCAACATTTTTTTTTTCATTAATTATAAGTAATTAAGTCATGTGTAGTGGGTAAAATTAATTCAGTAATACACTTTGTTTTTTTAAATTCTATTCCGTTAATTATAGGCATACCTACTATCAATCAAAGCAAAAGTTCGGAATTGTTTGGAAATAATAAAACGCATGCGGTCTTCATATATATTTGGGTTTATATATACATGGCTGAAGATTCAACATCTTCTAACTTACCAGGTCCCGATTTGGGACAATTTTTCTTTTCGGGACCTGTAAAATTAGTTTTGCTTTGTAAAATGTAAGCTTGCTATATTATGAGCGAATTATCGTTAGATTACTGTGTGAATAAACGATTTTTTTTGCGCAAATAGCTGCAACAAAATAGTTACGCATTTTCTTTACAAATGCGGCAAAAATATTATCTACAATACAACAACAAAATAGTAAAAATTCGATTTCAAGGAAACGTTGTTGTGAATTGCTATCTATTTAGAAAAAAATTAGTAGGTGTCTAGCCCATCAAAATTTAATTGTATGTGCTTATATATTTGTTGTAATTGTTAGGTAGGTGGTAATATTTATTGTAATTTAACAAATTTCAATGGTGTCGTGAAAGCCAAAAATAATATATACGTATATACACTGTGCATTTTAGTTATTTTTGAGTTTGGCAAGCACTTTATATATAACGCTATTCTTATCGATTGTATTGTTTTGTTGAAGAATAATTATAAAAATCCGTACGACCAGACAAAATTTTTAAACAAACATCGAATAAAGTAAATGTTGAAGGTAAATTGTCCATAAATTTGTTGATGGTCAAAAATACAATTTCAAAAATAGATTTCTTTTTCTAAACATAATAGTTTATTTTCAAAGGCGATTTGTGGGATTTTATTAAATTCCCTTGTGCTACAACAGTTGGAATTATGATGATTTATAAGTGTTGAAGATTCAAAAAATAGAACTTACAAAATAACACAGCGACGTAGTCGGTTTCTTGGACTATTTTCTCTAATATCCTTGCATTCACCTCCTCTATCCTGTCCGGCAAATCCATGGCTTCTAAACTTGTCAAAAACTCCAAAACGCTCTCCTCATCCATCAGGTCGCCTAAACAATAAACATTCAATTTTTTTTGGCTACAGTAACGGTATTTCTAACCAAACCTTCATATATAATTGGTTCTTTTTCCCTAAAATACGTAAGGGCCGGGAAATTTTTAATGCCGTATTGTTTGGCAAGTCTTTTGTCGTTGATTTTGACAAAATCAACGCCAAAGGAATCGGTGTCATCGTCTATTTTTTCTAATTCCTGTAGAACTTTATCACAAGTTGTACAACTCCTAGTATCTGAAACAAAAAACGTTAAAAAATCAAAGCAACGATTGCAAATATAACGAATAAAGAAGATAATGCTTTTGTTTATAAATATTCTTCAAAAAAATGAACAATAAGGAACTAAAACATATTGTTTACGACCGAAGAATGCGTTAACGTTTCAGATATTGTAACAACAAAAATAAGCTTGTTGCAACACGATATGCAACACAAAATTATTTATTGTTTTTCCGAAAATAACTTGCTAAATTTTGCGTCATTAGATATCTAATAATAAAGTTTAATTTGTTTTGTAAAATTTTAAAACTTCTTTAATATATGGTTTCCGTATTGTACGTATACATTTTCGTTAATTTTTAATTTTTATGGGTGATTGTAAACCAATCATGAAGCATAAAATTAAAAAGTCGTCAGTGTCTTTACGCCTATTAGTTTTCATTATTGGCAATTAATGTAACAAGTAGTGACGTATAAAGATAGCTCAAAGGATTATAGAATTTACTTTAGTTTTATTTCAAGATTATTGTTGTTTTCTTATATCTACCTAAATTTGAACATGTGGATATTAAATATGTTTCCTTAGCCTTAGTATTTATTTGCTGTGTTATTGCTTAGGGAATTTTGCCAAAAACAGCAAAATTTTCAACAGGTGGGTGGCAAGAAAATGATACGTATCACAATTAGTACTTAAACAGCAACGGACTCTATACGTATGAGTTTTGTTTTATTTAGGCAAGTTGTGTATTGTTCAAAACAAAAAAAAAAATAAAACAAATGAAAAAGGAAAATGCAGTATACGAAAATAGAACTTCTGAAACGGCGAAAAGTAATACCTTAGCGCTGCCTTCTTGATTATTTCGTTGCCAAAATTTACTTCTTTCTTATGTAATTCGAAAATCATTGCCAAATGAATTGAGTCATATTATGTATAGGGTAACGGTGGATCAATGGGATTGATTTATTTCTTATATATCAATAAAATGCCACGTGTTTCAGAAACCACGATCAATTTTTGAAAATATTAACAAGTAGAAAACATTTAACAAAAGACTATCACTTTTTTTTTTCAACTGTTTTCTCTAATGAAACTTGAAAATCTATCTAACTAACTAACTAACTAACTATTCATTACATAAAGTAACAACCAGATAGATATCTCTTACAAACATTCATTTTAGGAATAACTAGAATTTATTTTGTTGTTATTTTGTCGTATTTGTATAAAATTTTGTGGGACGTGTTATTTTAGTAATTGGGGTAGAAAATAAGTAGTAAATCCACTCGAGACATTTCTTCTAGCGAATGTCAAGATTACTGAAATATTGGTGTGTATCTTTGGCGAGATGGAAATGTGCTATTAAATTCCGAGTTAATTATAGGACCACCGAAAGGCTGTTTTCGTATGTTTGTACTTCAGTATTGGTTGCAACAGCCAGTTGGTTTAGTTTGCTAATGTTTGTCAAAGCACTATAGTAACTGTTAGCGTTAGTCTATCTAATTAAATAAAAAGGAACAATTTTTAAAGCTATTTAAAATAATTTAATAGGAAGGGCCTTTTTTGTATGTTTCTAAATCATTCGATATGCACTTCAGCAGGAGTTTAATTATACAGAAGTTACTAATAAGTTTAATAACAAATTATAGATAGTATTGCTATTTCGGACTAATAAATTTAGTGTATAATGCTAAGCAAATTATGTATTTAATTTGCAACTGGAGTTAAGAGGAGTAGAAGCAGATCTAGATTAGATTACTGTTCACAAATAGTTAAGGATGTGGGATGTTCCAGTTTTAGGGAAAGATGCGAAGATTAGCTCACTATAGGAAAGGGTAGAGGTGCGTGATCAACCAGTCTTAGGACTGACGACCTTATGATGATGATTACACGATACTATTCAAAGAGCCCTATTTTTTTCTGATGATTGAATCAGTTCTGAAAATGATTTTAGAGTCATCCGAAGTCTTTTACGTGAATTCAAATCATTCCTGAGTGCTTTACGATCAACCACTTGTTTCCTAACGTTAGATGCCCGACGTTTCGTCGCCAGTACCGTTTTTGAAGGAGGTAGACGACGACGACGACGACGTCCGTCGCGATGCGTCATTACGTCACACACCTGCGTATGTGCGGGCGGACGCCGAGCGTCTGGTTAGACAGACCAAATCGGGAGATGGCATCCTATCTGCTTCTCTCCCGGATTCCGTATCATCGACACCCAACACTCGCGAACACTCGAGACCCAAAAACAAAACACGCACGTCATAATCGCCCAGGCCTACTACTACTTACACCAGAACACTGCAACATAGTCCTTCTCGTCCAATAGCCTCTCCAGCTGCTTGGCGTTGACCTCTTCGATGACGGGGTCCTGCTGCTGGCTCGGTACGCGTTTTGCCGCCGACGACGGCGACGCCGCGAGCGTCGTTACGAGCAGCAGCCACCACCACATGTCGGCGTCCACTGAGAAGGTTAGAGCGTCGCGACGCCAAAACGGACGCGATCCCCACCCGACGACCCACGACGGACACGTCCGCGACAAAGCTCGGAATAAGTTGCTGAGTTGGGGATGCGCTATTTCAGAAGGTCTCCCATTCAATTTTTGACCAGGGAAAAGACGAATCTTCAATAGTTTCCTGGATGGAACCGCATTCTTCCATAAAAATTAAGATATAGATGCATCTACATTTTCTTTGATTAAAACATAACATGTCTGAACTGGTAGCCGTGGTCTAGCAGGATAAGGAATACCCGACGTTTCGTCCAAATATGGGTAGGACGTTCTCAAGGGGGATAAAAGATCGTTGAAGGCTAACGAAGTTGAACCAAAACCTTCAACGATCTTCTTTTAAAATCCGCTACCTAATTTGAATGAGTAAGATTCTTCCTTCAATGACAGATATGGCGTTTTGGAAGATTCCTTCCTTAAACCAAAAACCCTAAAGTTTGTTTGTCCATCCCCATCAGCTTGCGATGACACCTTGATGAGTAATCCACACCCCTGGTACGACTACTATTGCAATGTTTATGGTAGATGGAAACTTGTCATATTATTTGTTGAAAATTATAAATATTCGAGCAGTAGAAAGACCACTATGTATCAAATTTTCGTCAGTATCAGAACTAATACCTGTCATTGGTATAATTCATATCCAATTTCAAATTCGCTTGGATAATTATTAAGACATTTTGTACTCCATCGTGACCGAATATAATTAAATACAAACGTTGGATAATTAACTTTTAAAAGTTTTATTACAAGAAAAATACAAGAAAACAACTATAACTACAAAGAGATGTTTTCCAGCTTGAATAGTGTTCAAAACGAATTACAACAATGATAAAAATTACCCAAAACAATTTGAAAGTACAAGTAAAATGACTTTGAAAGTAAATGTAATAATAACGATTAGTAGTAGTATTCCTATTATCAGTAACATTCTTATACAGATGTATTATGAGGATATAATTATATGCATAGGTAACTCTAGCATATTAAAGTCGTGTTAGCGTTAAAAATTGTTTTGTATCGGAAGCATATAACACTTATTCATGCAAAAAAGGAATTCTGTGTTCGACGCATTTTCTTAAAAAGTTTCCAATCGCATGCGATCTACCTATACCTACGCGACTGAGTAAATTGATATCGTTTTATGGTTTTCGATATGTAATACTCCTGGTACTGAAGGTCTTCCTTTAAAGACAAGTCTTGTGGAAAACTGAAAGCTGGAATCGTATAACGTCAGTCGTTATTTTAGTTATTTGCAATTCGTTTGGCTGTCGATACACGTTAACTGAAATGGAAGAAAATTCGAAAAGAATCGTCATTGTTGGTGGAGGACTTGTTGGGGCTTTATGTGCATATTATTTTGGAAAAAGGGGCTACAGGATAGACCTGTACGAATACAGGGAAGGTAAAATATTTTTACTTTATACAAATGTTTCTTCATCGAGTATATCCTTAAAGATATAAGAAGATCCAAATCCCCAAGAGGACGATCAATCAATTTGTCGTTGTCTAATAGAGGAAGACTAGCTTTGAGAGACGTAGGTTTAGAAGAAGAGGTCCTGAAGAGTGCCGTGCCCATGGTAGGAAGAAGAGTGCATTTCCAGAATGGAAAGGTACAGTCCATTTTATACGACGAATTTACCAATCAGGTGTGTCAAAACGCAATTTGAAGCTGAAGCACATTGAAATTTTAATTCGTTTTCAGTGTATATACTCAGTTGGGAGGAATTTCCTAAACAAATTTCTACTCACAGGTATTATCACATATCAGATGGCACAATCGTAATGGTAAATTCACCTTTTTGCAGCGATCGAAAGTCTTCCAAACGTCCTGCTCCATTTCGATTGTAAATTAATCGATGTAAACCTAAAAACAGACGAACTCACATTTTACAGGTAAAGAAGAAGATCACAAATTAACAAATTCGAAACTTACTTAGAAAGTTTAAGATGTTCGTCGCAAGATTATCTTCGTGTAACCGGTGATCTGATAATCGGCGCCGACGGGGCTTTTAGTTGCTTGAGGAGATCCCTCCAGTCCACTCCCCTGTTCGATTGCTCCCAAACTTACATAGATCACGGATACATTGAACTCAGAATATCTCCCGAGCAAAGTCATCTAATGAAGCCGAACCATTTGCACATTTGGCCGCGGGGAAGCATGATGTTGATAGCCCTTCCAAACATAGACAAATCTTGGACTGTGACCCTCTTCATGCCTCTCAGCGAATTTGACCGCTTGGTTTACAAGGAGATGGTTCTGGAGTTCTTTAAACAAGTATTTCCCGATGTTATACCGTTGATTGGAACAGATCAATTGGTAAACGATGTAATCAGAACGAAGCCTTCGGTTCTTGTGTCCATTAAATGCAGTAAGTTGCATTACAGAGATAAATTTCTTATAGTAGGGGATGCTGCTCACGCTATCGTACCCTTTTACGGGCAGGGGATGAACGCGGGATTCGAAGATTGTACCGTTCTGAATAATCTTTTGGATAAATATTCAGGTAACCGATTTAACAACAGAAATTAACAATGATGACTTTTTAAATTTGTAGAAGATTTCGGGCGAGTTCTAGAAGAGTTCACCAGACTAAGGGTAAGTGATGCCCATGCTATAGCAGACCTGGCAATGTACAACTACTTGGAAATGAGGGACCTTGTTACACGACCCTCTTATTATTTAAAGAAATGGTTCGACAAACAAATGCACAGGGTTGTGGAGGACAAATGGCAGCCCCTCTATTATTCCGTTACCTTCACGCACACGAAATACGAAGTATGCTTACAACAAAGAGACTGGCAAAGCAAGGTAAAAAGGGCTTAAAGTTTCAGGTAGCTTTCTTCTAAAGTAGAATCTACATTACTTTGCCAGCGAGGATGTAGTGTAACTGTTTTACTTTTAGGTCCTTAAAAGAAGTCTTCTACTTTTCGGAATCGTAGCATTGTCTTTTTCTGCTTTAACATTTATAAACATAACGTAGTAATTAATTTATTATATAAGTTTTAAACAATCTTTGCTGCACATGAGACTCAATAAAATCTTCACTTGATATTGTTAAAGAGAATTATGCAAATATTCTTTGCTTTATCCTATATATAATCAACTTTCTTTCCCTGCAATAATATTAAGACTTTGATAACTCGAATAGCACTTCTACTTACCTTAATCTTGCAGCTTATCTGCACAATAGGTAAGGATGCCAATAAATAAAAGTACAACTGCTTTTTTACTTCAAATATATATATATATATGTACAAAAAATATATAAATATAAAAACTATTAACAAGTATACTTCCAATAACAACCTTTACTTACAAATTTTAATTAGGTAAGAAATTTATTGCTATAATTAAAAAAATTTAATTATAATAGTTACATACACGTAGTACATAGGTATCTAAATCAATTATTCTATGCATCTTAATTCTATCAGTCTATGTGAAGATGTACATCTTCAGCATTTTTTATGTAACGGTGTTTTTCTTCTTCGAAGAAATCGATAAGGGCTTTCATGAACTCAGCGTGTTTTCTATCGACATCCTCTCTCGTAGGATTTTTGATATGTTCAACATCGACCGGTCTTCCCACTGTATAAAAAGATAACACAAAAAACAAATGATTACTAAACAGTTTGTTATACTGGGTTTTAAATCTTACCGACGACGTGGACAGGCTTCCTTTTCGGCACAAGTCCAAAATTGTACTGAAAGAACCCTCTTCCGATAGGTATAATCGGGGCAATCCCGATAAGCCTCCTCAATCCCTCCTGTACCTTCCTGAGAAAACTACCTTCGGGACTGTCAACTTGACTAAAAAGGTCCGTCTCGCCAAAAGACATGACGGGAACAAGAGGGGTACCATGTTTAAGGGCAAGTTTCACAAACCCCTTTCTATTCTTTAACACTATTTTGTACTGTCCTGGTTTGCAATTAAACGATTCGGAAACCCCTCCAACAACAAGAACTGCGACATTTCCACCGCCAGGCTTGCATATGATACTTTCTATCGATTTCGCTGATGAGGCACAACCCCCCAAAGACAGGGCGAGTTCCCTGAAGAAGGGCATGTAAAAATGTTGCGACAGGGCTATCGGGTACGGAGTATGATGGGGGAATATCTCGTGAAACCCTCCAGCCGTTGTGGAGAACGCTGAAAAAGCCCCGGTACATAACATACCATGGGGAAACGAGCAGAAAAGGTAGTTTCGCTTCGGGTCCAATTCAACCCACGGTACCCTTTCCAAAGTCAATGGGAAATACTCCTTTAAATACTGCCACCAAGCCCAATCTCTAACCCATTGGATCCTTCTGCCGCCGTACTCGCAAACGTCTTTATCTATATATATCCAAAATAGATATAAAATTGTAAGGAACCATAACCGGGTGAACAGGATCAAATAGAGCGCCAGAAATAGCCCTATGAAACCTCCAAATGCCATGGTAACAAACCATGCTGCCGCTGCCAACGTTTGAAGGCGTCGACGGAATGGGATATTAAACGGGGCAAATTGTATTCCAAACAGTTCCATTCTGGAAACAATAGGCTTGATTAAGTAAACAGCAGGTAAACTGTTTTATCTGCCTCATTAGAATTGAATACAAACTTTCAACTTTTTAAAATTCATCATCGTTACACATATGCAGATTTACAAATGATAAAGCTACTTATACATATATTATAGTAGAATAGATAATGGTGAATGAGAAACGTAACAAAAATTAGAAATGACGGAATTTACTATTAAATATGAATCAAACAATTCGTTAGATAACAATTGTACAGTACGTAACTCAAAAAGTGAACAACTTACTATTATAAAATATCACCAATTCGAATTGAATAGAAGTTTGATGTGTTAATTCTGATGTACAGTTTACAAGTATAACAAAACCCATACTGGTTCGTTTAATTAACTAAGTGCAACCTTGTCCTGCACTTGCAGGCTGTAGAAAATCTATAATTCATTACTTTTCACATTATTTCATATCGCCGTTTCTTTACTTTATATATTTTTTATTATACATTCATAAAATATTTATGCAGGTATAGCTGTAAGTGATTACAATTATTTCTTTCACATTGCGTATAAATCAGTTTCTAAACATGTACCATAACAGCAGTTTTATGCTTTCGTTTTAGTGTAAAAAGAAAGTTAGATACAATGTAATAAAAAAACTTTTACTTCTTATATGCCACCAGTACTTACATAAATAAGTCTTAATATTTTTCGTGCAATACCTACTTTTGTTTGAAACTTAAAAAAATATTGTTGTTTGATGAAGTTTTATCAAACGTTTCCCTGATAAAGATTATATCAGGAAATAATACAGGTAAAGACATCAAAGTTCAAAAATCAAGGTCTACACATAATATTTACGCAAAAAATATCGTTATTAACTTTTACTTTCAGTTATTAGCAGTAATTAACGTACTGTAGCGTACGTTATGCATCTGCGTGATTTTAATTTTAACATAATATTTTATCCTTTGGAAAATCTATAAGGGCCTCAGGATAATGAATAAGTAAACCTATAATTAGTAGAATTTGTATTCGCAATGTGACGATCCTTGAAATGTGGTATTGTTGAAAGTTTAATTTTTGGTCATCATATCGGGTCAATCTGTTTTAGCGCTTTAATGTTTATTAACAAGAATAAGTATTATTAGGAATTATAGCTGACCTTCCAATTGAATAAAACGTATTTCAATACATAGTTTTATTTGTATGCACTTGTTGATTTGAAAATAATCCTTTTACAAAATCTTATCGTTTATGAATTTAACATACTTTTTCCTTAATACATAACACATGATGATACGGAAAACAAACTTATCAATTTCATTATCGCGAAACTGAACTTGTTCGACGTTTTCCTATTTTTTTACTATCTAAAGTACACATTACTTCGTAAATGTTAACTAAAACTAATTCAAGAAAACTGGTTTAATACTAGATTATTGTTGTTGTAGGGTGCATGAGATGTTTTGATTAAAGTTTTTTAACAACAATTTGAAAAACTGATTTCTGCTTTTATTTTAATTTTTCAAAAAATTACGACAAACTTACCTTCTTGCATCCAGTTTGTGGTTGGAAAAATTGGTAAACTTTAAAAAAGATTTATTTCTCTTTATTTTGGCTTTTTATCGAACACAACAGTTGCAGCGATCACATCTTCAATTAAATAATTGTTTTTAACAGAAATATTGTACAGATGGCTAGTTTACACACTTGTTCCGACACTAGTATGTTTTACAAACACATTTTCGTAGAAATTTATTTAAACAAGTACAGTAAACATTTAATAAGTATAACTGAAAGAAGTAACCCAAGTATTTGGTAGGAAGAAGAGTATAAATTTTGTGTTATAGTAGCACAGCTATAAAGATGAAATGTTAGGTATTTACTTTGGGTATGTACATGATATATGTATAAGGAAAATTTAAAATAGGTGCCCCCTCTCTTGTATCATTGTACATAGTTCCATGGTTCCATGAACCCATGGTTTTGTCGGCAGCTTTTAACGCAAGCAACCCATTTTACATCAAAGTTGCTTATGAATTTGTTTAAACTATTTAGTTTTTGTTAAATTTCTATTTTGCGATAAACGTCATCGAAAGTTTTCGCGATGGAAAATCGCGATTTTCACTTCTATCGCTTACTACATTTTCGCAGCTACTGAAAGCTCAAAGCTGCCTTCCGGAATAAAATTATTGATTTTTGCTTTTGTTCTGCATCTATGGTATAAATTAATCGTGTTTTATATAAAATCACAGACATAAGAACGCGATGGAAGGTTATGTCTGTGTTTTGTAAGAGATTGCTTATAACAAATTTTAGCATTTTCCATTAAAAATTGAGCTTTACGTTTTTGTGAAAGTGTGTAATCTTGTGCTTCGAAATGGGACGAACGAAGAGAACCCCCAAGAAGATCAGCGGCGGTGTAAGTGAAAATGACAACCCTTATAAAAAAAATATTAAGACTACTTCAAATCGAGTCGTTTTGTACAACAATGTTGGCGCAAACAGGGAGTATTATTTAGGGGAAATTTGGCTGGGTAAAACAGACAACACCATACCAAAAAAATGGCGAGCTTGTCGAATAGAATACGACTTAGATTTGTTGAAACTCGAATTCGATTTCAGTACATTTGTTGTTATAAATTTGACAACAGACATGAATTACATAAAGGGTCTCATACGGTCCAAAACATATATTGTACGTCTTATACAAAGGGCTGACTTAGTTTTCGCTGACTTGTACTTTTCTGAATTACCCTTTTCGATTTTCACTCCAGTAATCGAAAATATCACAAGAACTACTTTTGCTCTATTATACGACATAGAATTAAATAACAAGGACCTTCTAAACGGCGAAAAATCGACTTCGGCGGGTGATATAAAAGACTTTTATAAAGAACTGAAACAGTTCAAAAAACAGCCCGAAAATAGCGAAATAGATGTTCAACATCCAGCCTTGGCTCCTAAATTAAGACTTTACCAACAAGAGGCTGTAAGGTGGATGCTGAGCAGAGAACAATTTAAAAAAACTTCAAAAAAGGGATATAAATTGGATTTGAATCCTTTGTATAAGGAGGTGACGTTAAAAAGCGGCGAAACTGTATATTTAAACAAATCGAATTGCTACGTGGAAAATACACCTCAATTGATACCACCGTTAAGAACGGGTGGTATATTAGCGGACGAGATGGGCTTGGGAAAAACAGTTGAAGTATTGGCATGTATACTTCTCAATCCATACAATGAAAACGACGCTACCAGCGCTTCATCCACAAGGGTCTGTATAGAAAGCTTTTCGCAAAGTAATGCACCTCAAACCAGAAAAAGACGAAAGCCTTTACAGAACGCTATCAGCGAAAAAGAACAATTGTATGTGGACAAGCCGAAAAAACTAAAAGTACCCAAAGACTGGGTGAAAAACCCGAAGAAAAAGTCCAACAATTATATCGCTCTTCACACTTGGTACGAAAGTGTTCTCAATGATATGAAAATAAAAAAGCCCGAAGCCGTGCTCATTAAAAAGGTACAATGTATCTGCGGAAATCGTAACGAAGATAACATCATCCAGTGTGTCGACTGCTCAAAATTTCAACATGTTTCCTGTTTTAATTACAAGCCAGAATTCGGGGATTACAGGTGTGCCCAATGTTGGGAAAATCAGGTACCCTGCATATACTTTTATTAAAAATTACTTAATATGAAATAATTTCAATGTCTATTACTTGATTCGTCGGAAATATCGGTCCTCACAGAGTGGCGCCAATTTTTTTAAATCGATTGGCTACACGTTCTAGGCGCCACTTGTTCAACCAATCAAATTTCTTTCCATATCCTAAAGTCGCTCAACTTGAAAGCAAAATTTAGTAGCTTTTCCACAATAGTAAAGAAAGTAATTATAAGATTTATTTATTACTACGTATTTATCCAGTTTTTAAAAGTTAAGATCGATAATACAAAAGAGTCGTCTTTTTATCTTCCGATGCTTGGTGATCTAAAAGGGTTTCAATAAAAAAGAACAATTTTCGTCAAATAAAATGTTCATCATAAATCCCTACAATTTTGTCAAAATTTGAAAACTAAAATTACACACCCAAAAAACTTGTATTTAGCTGCTTTCGTATTTTGTTACACGAATTTATTGTATATTATATTCTATGACATTTAGTAATATTTTAGCCGTATATAGAATGCAAGGGTACAATAATAGTATGCCCCAAAGCTCTTGTAAATCAGTGGCTAACAGAAATTTCGAAACACATAGACAAGGGTCTCAAAGTTTTCCACTACGATAAACGACCAATTTATCCCACTCAGCTGAAAGAATATGATATCGTTCTGACGACTTATAGTGTACTTCACACAGAATTTTGGACAACTGAAGTAGGAGAGGTATCTAGCATATCATTCATAAAAAAATACTTTATTATGTAACGTTTGTCGTACTTCTTTTTATTTATTTGTAAGTCGGCGGTATTGAGAAGGACTCCTAGATATTCGCCCCCGGGAAGTCCAATAACCCGGATGAACTGGTGGCGGGTTTGTCTTGATGAAGCACAAACTGTTGAACTGCCTAGTAATAAAGTTTCCGAAATGGCTTTGAAACTTCATGGGGTGCATCGGTGGGCCGTTACTGGTACCCCCATTTGTAAAGATATCTCAGGTATTTAAATAGAAAGTTTCCCAAAATTCTTTCCCTTATTGGGCCTTCTATTTTTTTAGATTTGTACGGTTTAATAAGTTACATGCAGTTCGAACCGTTTGATGATAAAGCAGCTTGGGATTACTTATTATATTTACCATATCTGTCGGGTAATAAACAACCCATGTACGAGTTTCTTAGTAAAATTTTATGGCGAACTGCAAAAAATGACGTTTTAGATCAGGTACTCAAATAGATTATCTTAAAACAAAAAAAAAGTATATGATGCGAGACTCGTTTGTTTCGTTCACAGATCAACATACCAAAGCAAACTGTCGAGGTTTATTCTTCGGAATTTTCAGCTGTGGAAAGGTATTTTTATAAACGCGAACACGAATTAAGCGCAAAGGATTTTCTAGATAAATTGCGCACCTACGACCTAAATATTCCTATATGTTCACTTCCCGATGGGCATCTAAAACATGTAAGGAATACTCTCGAAACAATTGGGCATATTGTTGTCTTTTTTTTATAAGATTATAGGGCCCCTGTTATCAATTAGACAATCCTGTACACATCCCAACGCTGTTAGAGGCCGATACTTAGCTACAAAGAAACAAGTGGCTTCTATGAACGATTTATTAGAAGCCCTGATCTACAAAAACAATGTAGAAAGCGAAGAACATTTAAGGATTGCCATTTCCGCAATAAACGGTATAGCCGGTATATATTTACTGCTTAATAATCCTGAACAGGCTGTTGAGGAATATCGTAAGGTTTTACAATTAGCGGCCAGGTTTAACGGCGAAAGCCAGAAAACAGAGGGCTCCACAATTGACAAATTACAACTGATTCATACCATGCACAATCTGGCTGATGTTCTAGACATGAAACCCAATGTAGCTCCGACTTTAAGGGACTCGACCCTTCGAAATGATTGTCGGGCGTTGCAGGAGAAGTTCATAGACAAATACATCAAGGAAGTAGGTCTTAAAGACGGGGGTTTTTGTCGCGATTTTGAGGTCTTTTTTCTTTTAGACCATCTCCGCATTGAAAGACAGCGCTTCGGCCACCGAATCGGTGGTGAGATTGCAGGAAAAACAGACCCTGGTGGAAGGAGATTGGTATTCTGTTTTACTAGATTGGATAAGTGTTAACGAGTACTCCGATGAACTCAACAAGAGGATTATGACCACGTTGGAGAACGCAGATCTCAATAAATTTTCAGAGTAAGGGAAGAATTGAATTGATCGACTTTAATTTATTTCATACGCTTCACTAATTCGTTGATAGGTTTTCTAATGAGAGAAAGATATTGTACCGAGTGACACGATGGAGCCAGGATGTCATGAATTTACGAGACGAAACGATGAGTTTGCTCGAAATGATGTACACGTACTCGAAAGAGAACAACAAATTGACCCTGGCTCAGGGTCTTGTCGAGTACGCGGCAGGATGTCATCTGAAGTCCCAGAAGAAAAGCGGGAAACGAGAGAGCAAAAGCAAGTGTCTCGTTTGCGACGTGGACAGCAAAATGAGAGACTACGAAAGCAAACTGTTCAACACAACCAAACTGGACGATCCAGACAAATCAAACAAGGGCAATTGGAAACCAACCGTTTTCGAATTAGTCTTAAAAGGTAGATATAGAATAACACAATATCTTATCACCACTAATGCTCCTTTGAAGCTCTCCTGCTCCTTGGAAAGGCCAAAAAGGCAGACAAAGAACTCTTACAGAACGGCCACTTTTTCTGCAGTCAAATAGACAACATGAAGAAGGAATTCAAAGAGTTGCGGAGGTTCTGGACGTACCTGGATCGACTTATATGCGCCCAAGACGAAGTAGACATGTGCAAAATCAGACTGAGACTGAAGGATCCTAGCAACGATCAATCAAAACCAAAAACATCCAAAGTAGATCGAATTATAAAGCAACTCTCAATGACCACCGACAATAAATTAGAAACCATTCATATGCTGGATCCACACGAAGTATTAATGTAATCAAATATATTTACTGCATATCATTAATCGTCGTATTCCAGTTGGATTACCAAAGGGCAGTGCTTGAGGGAGAAGCAAATCAAGAATTACAAGAGTTGGAAAAATCATTAGGGACCCGCAGCTATTTGGAGACATTAAGAAGGGACCAGGAATCCAGTGCAGGCCCTGATCCTTGTCCCATATGCAAAACAACGTTGGAGGAACACAAGAGTGTTCTACCGTGTGGCCACTGTTACTGCCTCGACTGTATTCAAATCCTTTTAGAACAAGTATTGGTTTAACTTGACGGAAAGGATTTGTAATTTCTATTCATTTCTTGTTTGATTCTAGACGTCTGCGAAAAAGATTTCGTGTTCCATATGCAGACAGAAGCACAAAATTGAAGACATTTCGTACATTAAATCTGGAAGTGCGGTCAAAGATCTGGATCTGGTTAAAATAAAAGGAAATTACTCGACGAAAATAGAAGCAGTTGTAAAGCTGGTTGTGAAATTGAAAGCCGAAGACAGTTCAGTTAAAATTTTGGTATTTTCCAGTTGGCCGGCGATCTTGAAAATAATACAGAACGCGTTCAAAGAAAACGACGTAACCTGTGACCTTTTTAGTACACAATGTAACATGAACCAATTGGCAAAATTCAAGGTATGCAGTTTAATTACGTATTTTTTTCTAGTGATGCCATTTCATCGTTTTCTTTATTAGGACCCAAATCAAAACCTCACGGTGCTTCTACTTCCCATCAAGTTGGGTTCCAAAGGGTTGAACATTATCGAAGCTACCCACGTGTTTTTTGTGGAACCTCTTCTCAACCCAGGTGACGAGCTTCAAGCCGTTGGGAGGGTTCATCGAATAGGCCAAACCAGACCTACCTTTGTTCATAAGTTTTATATCAAAAATACCATCGAGGAAAATATTTATTTATCGACGTCCACGTGCACGGAAAAATGGGTGAAAAACAAAGTGACTTTGAAAGAATTGCACGATCTATTCACTGTTTCCGACAACGCGAAGAGTGAAAACGAAAACGAACAAGATGAAAATCCTCCTGATGACAATATGGACGCTTCTGGTTCATCAACGGGATTAGATGATGAATCATCCTCTTCTACCTTGACGAATGAGGTAAAAGAAGAAGGGTACTCGATCACTGATTCAACGAACCCTCATCAGAGTTGTAGAAATGCCAGGCTGGATTCCATAGAATCGGATTCTGGATTTGTCGAAATGAAAATGAAAACAGAATAAAACGTATCCACGGAATTCAATCTTTTTATACAGTATTAAGTGTGTAGTGTAAGAGTAAATAATCTTTTTTATTTCTAGGACTAAATATTTAAGTTTTAATTGTACTTACTCGTAAGTGTACGGTTACACCATTACAATATCTGTTTTGTAACATTTTTTTATTATTTATTTGTCTACCTCTGACATCTCCTATTGCGTTGTGTTTCACTGTTTTTATAAGTTCTTTCGGCTATTTTGGCCATTTTCATTATCACTTGAGGCCCTTTTTTCTGGTATAATATACTACTACTACTGCTACTCACAATTATTACCTTTTAATATTAATAATTATCAAACATTAATGTGGAATCGACTCAATTTGTTTCCACTACAGAGATTACCTCAAGTTAATGAGAAAAAAGTCGTTGTTTGTGTTACACCCTCGTCGGGAATCGAACCCGAACTCGTGACTAAAGGCATCAGTATTTTTACCACTAACCTATAAGATGTAACAGCAGCAACAGCCACAAAACATACCTAGTATGTCACAGAGTTATCGAAGTCAATTATTAATTTTTCGTCATCAATGTTTGATAATAATTAAGTATTACTTACCTCTTGTCCTACCTCTTTTTTTAATTTTTAATTTACTTCAGATAAGAAACTTGGACCAATTTTGGCCATTTAATAAATAAAACTCGGTAACAACTGTAAAATATTTATTCAGTTTATAATCATTATGTATTTATAATTATTTACACTACAATACTTTGCAATAGCAAACGCACAGTAAAATATTCTTTTCGCCGTGTAAAGTTTAATACAAAAATTACACCAATACAGTAAAATAAATTATATTTTATAATTAATAGGTACACCTGCTTATATGTCTATATGGAATGTTGTTGGGGGGTAGGGGGGTGGGTGAGAAATTAGAAAATAATTTTACAGCAGCTAATACTTCGTTTGTGTTTAGAATTACTTGCAAGCGTGGTAATGAGTAATAATTACTGTTGCATTACATAGTTAATAAGATGCGAATTAATACTTTTTGGGCTGCTTAGGTGATCTAAAGTTTAAAGACTACTTTGGCCCAATCTATTTCTTTTTTATTCAATGTACACGATCCTGCCTTGTACATATAATTAATTAATCAGTTAACACTAAATTTTTATCGTGTTAATAATAATAATTATTAAGTACCGCAACTAAAGAAACGATAACGTTTTATCAAAAGAGGCAGAACTTTTATTTTTTGTGGAATGTTTTTACTGGCTTCTATTCCAGTCTAATATTTTCATGAAATCTTTGTCCGCTATTTCGGAAAATTTTTGAGTCTCGTAAAGGGCCTTTTGTCTCTTCAAATTGTCAACGAGTAACATTTGTTTTTTAAAGCCTGCGACCACGTCCAGTTTCTGTTTTTCCAACCCTTTAATTACTGATGTCATTTGGTCTATATGTTTTCGATGTTGCATCTTCAAATCTGCCTCCTCTTTTTTTGAATTTTGTATGGCTGTTTTTAATTTTTCATTCTCCTCTAACAGTCTGTTTATTTTGACCTCGTTGCCAGATGAATTTTGGGACACGTTTCGAAGTTCCTTTTTTAATTGCTCCACTTCTTTTTTTAACGACAAATTTTCGGATTCTTTCGCCTGCAGCTTGGAGTTTAATGTGGACATTTGGTTTTCTAATTTGTTTACTTGACTTTTACTGGCGTTATTCATAGTAAACCATCTCTCCTTTTCTTCAATCAATCGTTTATTTTCAGCTAATGTGTTACGAAGTTCGTCGCTTTTCATTTTGTACTCTATTTGTAGTTTTTCGTAGCTGTTTTGCATAGTTTTTATCTTCGTTTTGTAAAATTGGCTCATTCCTTTGGCACCCATTTCGTCGACACTTTTTGGGACCAAATTAGGATCAATTTCCACGTCATTTTCCAAGTTTATCTTCGAACGAACTTTTTTATTCAAGAAAGAATCGAAAATATCGTCTTGTGCCTTTAGGGAAGCTTCTTGCAGGATATCGTCCTGCTTTTTTAACACATTTTCGAATTCTTTTAGTATTTCTTTCGATCGTAGCTCTAGCTTTTCATTTAATTTTCTATATTCTTCTTCACGTTCGAGTAATTCTGAAGACATTTTTGAAAATTGCCTTCTTACTTATCTCTCAAAAATGCCATCCACAACAAGTTTGACAATGAAGTAATTACCACTACATTACCTTGGCAACACCCCGAAAAAACATCCCCTTAGAAACGATAAAAAACTGTCGTTGTTTTGCCTCTTTTGAAAAACTTTAAAAAAACATACATTGTAAAATAAAAATTTCAGTCTGCTATCGTATGTAAATATAAAAAACCTTTAATAACACATTCATATAAGTATATATAAAAAAATAGCAACAAAACATAGAAATGATTAGGTAACAATTAATATAATAGTAAGTAATTATAATAAATGCACAAAAATACTTAATTGTAGGTAAAAAATGTTTTTAATGCACACCATAACGTTGTAATTGTACAAGAATCACAACCAAAAAAGAAAATAACAAAAGCAACCCAGAAACGAAGCTGCAATTATTAGAGTAAAAATTCGATGTCCAATTTCAGTTCAAAAGTATAATATATATTTAACTGTTCAATTAAAAATTACAAATTTCGACTGCCTTTCATTTTCTAGTAATATTGTTTTATTTTCCCTTTTTTTCTATCGTGTTATTATATGTAAACTATCAAAAACCAAAAAGCAGAGACAGGCAGTAATGACGAAACAATAATTAATGCTGCAGCAGATGAATTGGTACCTATACTTACCAGAAAATTATATAAAAAGATAATAATAACTCGTTGCGTAAGTACACAATTTTGTTAACGCCCTATAAGTCTTTAAAAATTTACATTAAGTTACTTAAGCGTTGTTTAAACGTGCAAGATGGAGTCGCTCACCTTTTCAAGCTCAGCCTGGAGCATTATGCGCATGTCCGTCTCGAGTTGTAGCTTGGCCCTGAGCTCCTCTATGGCTGTCTCGTGTTCAGCATTTTTCTCCTCTAATTTCTTTATCCTGTCGAGAAGTTCCACGTAGAGCTTGTCCGAAATCGACGACATACCTTCGTGATCACCCGAACCTTTGCTTTGATCGATCGAATTAGATAATCGACCCAAGTCGTTCGATCGAAAAGACGACGGTTTTACATGATGAATACTATAATTGGAGGTTTCACTTGACACTCCGATATCGTCTTTTACTTTTTCTAGGACTCGTGGTTTAGGGGGAGGCGACACTTTGTTCAGTATGGGACTAGGGGTAAGTTTGGTCGGCTTGGTCTCTGGAACGGTGTGGATCGTTTTGGGTCTTGTGGGTGGCGTTACACCGCCTGGCATGGGGGCCATTTTGCGTATCACTACGTTATCCATCTCTGTAGATGATGTTTTAGGCTTTGCAGCAGGTCTGGGTGATTCAACCAGAGGTTTCGCAGCCTCTTCTTTCTCGGGTTTGTCCGTTTTTTCGTCGTTTTCAGGGGTTGCCAACTGCTTATCTTTGGGCCTGTTGTTGTGCTCCTGCTTGGGTGAAGTGGATGACCTTTTGGCCTGGTTAAGTTTCATCTCTTCCAGCCACGGTACTTTGAATTGGTCTCGTAAACGGGGCGCTGCTTCCTCAGAGTGTTCCAAAGAGGTGTTATTTTCTGTCAGCTCGTCTAAGGGGTTCGACTGGTCGTTAGGAAAGCCATTTGTGATTCCTGCTTCGCCCTCTTTTGTTACTACACTTGGGGGCCTACGATCTGAAAGGAAACTACAATTTAGCAAAAAAAATAAAATAATTGGTGAAGGGTGTATTTTACCAGGGCCTTTGGCACGAGTTGCTCGTACGTCTTGTAGCATGGGAGTCCTGACAACTTGGTCGAAAGCGTTCTCGTTCGTAGGACTCGGTTTGGGGGGTTCCTTGCTTTCTAAGGACTTGGAACTCAGTTTGCTGGACGTGGCACCGTCTACTGCATCCACAATCTTCTTACGTAGACCAGAGAAGATACCCTGTGCTCCAGACCCCGAAGGGGACTTCTTTAACGAAATAGAAGGCTTTTTGCTAGGGACTGGGGGTGGTATTCGTGCAACAGGGTCGCTATCTGTCCTTTCTTCCCCTGGTGGGACATTTTTAACATCATCATCACTAGCCTATAACAAATACAACAATTATTTTGATAATAGAAGAGAAAAAAACATTCAGAACCTTTTTGGGGTTTATTTCGGACTTGTGAAGTTCACTTTTCTTCTGCTGGTTGCAATATTCTTCCCTCTTTTGCAAATGGCTGTATTCTTCTGGTGTCAGAACAACTACAAAATTGTCAGGAAATACTCCAATCTTCCCATTAAGTTCCCCCTTCCACCATCCAGGATCTTGACCTTCTTTGCTTATTAAAGTCACTAAATCGCCCTCATTTAAAGTAAGTTCATCCTCATCTTCCGCAGTGTAGGAATATTTTACTTGGCATATAGTTTTTACTGAAAAGATAATAAAACATATTTAATCTTTATGTACCTTTTTAGGATGTTAACAAAAGCAAGCAAATATTTCAATGAGGAATATCAATTGTGAATAATGGCTGTTTTATTTAACAAATTTGTTACAACATAGATATCATACCTAAAAATAAAACGTGACTAACATATAAAAGAAATAGAGTTAACTTTAATGTTTACAACTACATAGGATTAACTTTCCTTTGCTAATGAGGTAATGACCTAATGATCAGCATTCTCTTTTTGGAAACTATGATTAAATTTAAAATGTAATTAAAGTGTCTGACCTTTGCTTGTCATTCTGTTTACAAATACAGCTTAGTAATATTTAGATACTATTTATTTTCTATAAATTTAGGTGAATCGATTATTACATACCTGGTTTTGGTTGCACTACAGGAGTCTCAGAACTGTCCACAGACCATCCTACTGGTCCCAAGTTTTCTTTACTGCTAGCCCTACTAACAGGTATTGAAGGGGTTATTTCTTGGACGAAATTTGAAGGGAAAACACCCACTTTTCCATTCAGCACGCCTTTCCACCATCCTTCTTCCTCTTCACCTAATATATTTATTACATCACCCACATTTAAACTAAGTTCGTCGTCGTGATCTTGCTTATAACTAAACACTACTCTACACTGACGGATTCTGACGACATCCTTCTTGTTCCTATAGGTGACACCTGGGTCAAGTGGCCGAACAAAATTGTCAGGAAACATGCCCCTCTTATCTCTCAAAACACCTTCCCACCAACCACCTGGTTTCTTTATCACATCTTGGATAATATCACCCTTTTTTATTGTGAGTTCATCAGGTTCTTTAGCTGTGTAGTTATGTTCCACGATAACCTCTACAATGAAAAAGTGCATTCGAAAATGAATTTTAAACAAATGTACCTCACTTACCCATCTTCTTAATTAATTAATACATTATTTACTATTTACACACCAAGCCCATATGATATCACTTAATACAACACGATTTACATATTTCAATATTATGACACAAAAAATATTACGGTATACGAAAAAAGATAGAGACAGAAACACATTCATTCATGAACTCATACTATTCTGCACTACTCGCATAAGTCTGTCTTTATTTATCGAATGGCTGAAGCATACAGCTCCACCGTTGTCGAATTTTTGTTATGTATCATTACAAATATACAATAATTTATTAAGAAACGTTTAAATAGTAGTATTATTTTTATGGCATTTATTCCAATTAGTGTATTGATGAAATGGTTCTCACGAGCGAGTTGTTGATGAACTGAAATAGTAAAATAAAAGAAAATATAGCAGGTAGAACATTTAAGAGTACATTTGACAACAGTGCCCCGCCAAAACTCAAACTTTCAAAAAACTTTTTGAATTTTCAAAAACGTCTTTAGTTAGAAATTGGTTAAATTAATTAAAATAAATGCTTTAATAGCCTTATAATCAATTGCAATTCTATTAATTTACTCATTTTCGGTAACCTTTGGATATACCTACATATATTATTTCTTATCAGTTTACATATTCGTAACTCCTTTTAACATCCGTTTCCTGGGTAAAACGCAATTAGGAATGAAGGATAAACGTCTTTTCCTGTGTAGATTATGATTTTACTAATATTATTGTATTAAAACGAACAACAAAAAGGAATTGAGCAAAATTTGTTGCTACGTACAAGTTCAAGTAGATTTATAATGAAAGCAACACTACAAAGCCTTTTGCTTGCGTAATTTTCCTTTGTAATTATGCCAGAAAATCGCCCAGTAATTACTTGCGGCATCTCATGTCATAATATGATCAATTGCAATGTGTTTACCATGTTCGTTTGGGGTAAGTGTAATTAAAATTAAATTAATCACGAGAGCATCCTCAAGAGGGAATCAGCATGCGAATGTAAATAAAATAAGAATGTTAATTAAAATAAGCGTTTAATTAACACGTGGAATGGTAAGAAACAAAATAGATATTTATTGTGTATTGAATTTTGGTGGATGCGCCTGCCATGAAGGTTTTGCTTCGTCAAAGGCTTTGTTCCCTTTTGGTCGGAAATCTAGACGTTCGTTTGTGTTTCCATTGAATGTGTCTTCCATGTTGACAATATCATTTCCTCCGTGTTTTCCATTAAGCCAATTTATCTTCATGTCTGTGTGGCAAAGTGAATCAACTTGTTGCAAGAGAGAGTGTGTTTGATCGTTGTTATAGCAACCTCATGTTAGGAAAACAGGTGGTGGAACGTTATTCGCGGGGTAGTTTTAGGTCGAATTTCTGAGTTTCAGTCTGCAGATGACTCGTCGATGCGTCTCACGGAAAACCGACGCCGTGCTTATGTTACAATTAATTTTTAATTGAATCGGACGTGTGTGATCTTTTGACCGGATTTTCTTGAACGAGATATGTGAGATTGATCTTTTTTTTTGTGAGAAAAGAAAGAAATCGCCGTCGAATGGGGTTGAAGGTTCTGCACTGCAGCTGAGAGGTACCTAGGGTGTCACAAATTGAATTAAAATTCATTTCAAATTCTCAAAAACAAACATGATTTTCAAATTTAAAATTAAAAGAGTTTTCTCTATCCAAACTAATAAATAAAATTAATAAATTACATCAGCATCCCATGAAGACTTTTAGTATATGTGTCCCACTTATTGTTCCCTAAATTTAACGTCAACAAAATAAAACCAAAATGATATATTAATTGTATAATTTTCAAGATAATATTTATCATGTTTATTCAAGAATAGAAGAAATGATTGTTTTATCGTGAAGTAATTGATTCATCATTAAAGATTTGTGAAATGATGATGTGATTTTTGTTTGTTCCAGTAAAAAACCCATGGGTAGGACTATGTAAGGATTTCAATGTGATGTGCGAGTGCTGTTCGGACCCAGGATGTCTTCATTCCCTAGTAAACGCTGTGTCTCAGGAAGCCCAGCGAATGTCTATCACAGAGAGGCAGATTATCCTTGACGTTTTGTATCGAGATGAAATGGTCCGGAGAGAACAGGAACGAAAGCTGATGTAAGTCCTTTTACTTATTATTTCTTATTGGGCGTAACATCTCTTGGAATTTTCATTCATTTTCTTCTTCATACTATCGAATGAAACAGAGCCAGAAATTTGTTTCAAAAAAATATATCTATATAAGCAAAATTTAATTTTGGTGACGAACCGAAAAACCTCATGATCCCCTCCCCTGGACACCATCCTTCATTAGGTAGTTGACCAACCATAAAAATACCTAATAAATAAAAGTTTTTTATTTTCATCATCAACAGAAGGTCGTCAATCCTAAGACTGGTTGGACACGCATCTCCACTGTTTCCTATCCTGAGCTAATCTTCGCATTTCCCTAAAACTAGAACATCCCACATCCTTAACTATTTGCGAACAGTAATCTAATCTAGGTCTACCTCTACCCCTCCTAACTCCTGTTTCTGTCTCTAATATGTCTCTGACTAGACCTTCATGACTGAGAAGATGTCCTACCAACCTATCTCCTCTATTTCTTATTGACTTCCATTGAGTCCTCTGTTCTCGTATTTTTTCTAATACTTCTTCATTTCTAACCTTCTCTATCCACGGTATCCTCATCATTCACACTACATTTCGAACGCTTCTAACCTTTTCTTTTCCGCCGCGCCCACCGTCCATGTTTCACACCCGTACAACTCCGCGTTCCAAACATACACCTTTAACAATTTTTATCGAATTTCTAAATTAACCGTTCGCGAGCATAGAAGTGACTTCTTTTTTTTGAAGGCGACTCGACCCTGTGCTATCCTCTGCTTTATATCCCTACTACTCCTTCCATCCTAACTTCCTAGATACCTAAAATCAGCCACTTCTTCTAATCTTTCGTCTCCTACCTTTATATTCGCTACTTTTGCTTCCCTTGCATCCCAGTATTTTTGTTTTACTCTTATTTATTCTCATACAATACAATATTGTTTTGTCAATACCGCTTCCACATTATTTAAAGCTATCTCTAACTCCTCCTTGCTAGACGCTAATACTGCATACTAATGTTTTGCCCCTGCAAATCTATCCCTTCATTTTCATATCAGTTCATTTTTCCTTTTTCGTAATTAGTACGTAATACACGTTTTAATTAAGTTGTTTAACTGACACGTGGTGATGAAACGTGTTTGGTACATCCACACAAATAATTAGTATGCAATTTTGCAAGAAAAGGTAGGTCCTGAAGGTCCTTATTACGTTACAGTGCCTAGGTAATAAGTTGTCATCGTGTGTTACTTATTTAGTTATGAGTAGTAGTAGTTGTGCTTTTGATGCAGTCATGAAATTTAGTACAGCCGGCGGAAAAACGAGAAATATCATCGAAAGCTTGGAAAACTTTTGGCGGTAAGAACGCTTATCAATCTTTTTTACTTTTTATGTCAGACTAGCGAATATGTACGATTTGGTGGACATCAACCTCGTCTACTTGTAAATTAAAAGTATCACGTACACTTTAAATTGCATTTATTAAACTTAGAGAAAGATAGCTGAAGGTGTTTGAATGAATTTTCCGGTAGCTTGTCGAAAGGTTATGCCACCCTTTAATGTTATACAAATATATACTAAAATCGTAAAGGAAATGTCTATAAGACGACACTACAACTCGTATGGCCAGTAGGTACCATGTAACTACTTGTAACTGTTAAATACCTGAGAAAATCCAAACTATACTTTCCTTATTATTAAAAAATTCTTGTGCTTCTGCGTAATGAATTGAGTGAAATTGAAAGTTGTGTGTCTTCGCTAATCAAGATTCACTTTCTACTGTACATGCCAATAAACATAACATATGTACACCCGCTTGTATATAATATACAAGACTGTATATAGTGTTATTACAGTTTTTTTTTATGTAACTTGATACATGATGGACTCCCACATGTTTTATTGGCTGTTATATGAAAAGAAAACAAATGCTATTCGTCAAGGACATTATTTATTGCAATTTACGATAATCAAGATTAAAACTATAACAATTATGTTATTAAATGTTTGTAGCATTTATTGCTACAAAAAAGATATTTTTTTACGTTACTGTCAGTGTTCTAAGGGGAACATTAGTCAGTTTTAGGTTTGTTTAATTCTTATTTTGCAAGTTTCACATGCATGTTTGATACGTAACCGTAAGTGCATTATTTCGCCTCGTTTCATACAAAATATCCATGTGTTTGTTATAAAGTAACCTAAGTATTTCCGTTTAGAAACTTGGTTCACCTATGTTTTATTATTATTATATGTATACTACTACTGCAGGTAATAGAGGTTGTTTTTGCATGCAGCTTTTACGTAGGAACACCTCAAATCAACTTGTCGTGGGTTTCAAAAACGGGTAAATTCCGCGTTGTCGTTCCCAAACCAGAAGCGATTTTCCTGTTTCTCGTAATAATTCGGGTGCTGATTTTGGGATAAAACGCAATACTCAATTTGCTGAAGAAATAAAACGCTTTTCGTTATTGTACACTTGAATTTCCATGCAAATTAATCGATGTTTACTAATACTGCAGCCACATAAAACGCAGTAGAATCCGCTAATGACATAGAAGGGAAATGACAAACACGTCATACTAAGCATAATCTTAGAAACTCTATTTTGGTTAGTTATTTAGTTTAATAGAGAGAAAAATTACAAATTGAACGATTAATTGTAATATCAATAAACATAAGAAGGGTCAAAAAAATGTTATCATTAATCATTTGGGTCACTATAGCCGGATATGATTTCGTGAAAATCATTCATAATAAACGATATGGATAGTCATTATATCCAAACTTTCCTATAGAGAATTTAATATGGAAACCAAACTTAAAACTGCAATTACTTCGTATTAAGCGATTGCTCGATATAGGCGGACCCATAATAAACGAATTCCACTGTACTTATAAGTATGCTAGCAAGAAGAAAGGAACTGATCGTCTCCTAACCTTTTAAGACCAATTTCCTTTAACTGACGACGCGTTCTCCATTTTGATTTTTGAAATTTGTTTAAACGACTTAAGGATGGAATTGACGCTTGCCCACTCGTCTTACCATGAACTGACTTAACTGTAATCGCAGACATGCGCAGAGATGGTGACCGCCACCGGAGCTACCTTTTCTGCCTTGCTCGCCAAAGTTGGCCGAGACAGAAAACCTCATCGACGTTCCTTTCCCATAAAATCACACGAGTGATTTTGTATGTGAAAGAGCAGGGAGTTTGGCGGTGTTGGTTCCGTTTGAAAAATTCGTGACCGTTCTTAGAAGTTGTCGGTCTCCGTGGGTCCTGATATCGTCCTATTCCCGGAATAGGCTACGCTAGCAACCGGAGAGTGTGCATTCGTTTTGTCGTTGTGGCACCATCTACCTACCTATACCAATCGCTGCTGGCCGAAAGTGTTATTATAAGAAGAGAGAAGAAGTTGAGGAGTCAAGAAGTTAGAAGCTTTCAACGGTCGTTCACCTCGTCTTCTTGGTTTGATCGCTGTCCTTTTTGTTTTTTTATTGTTTTTCGGCTATTGTGACGAAAATGTTGCGATCTGACACCGCAGTGGTACCCCGTAACCTTGGCTCAGTTCTAATAAATGGTAGTAATAGTTATTACTTTTATAAAAGTAGCAATTTTGTAGAGCGCCAGTCGTAGGTGTTGCAGTGCTGCTGTTTGTTATTTGATGTTGTTATTACTACCACAGTGCCGAAACGTAGTTGTTATGTAAGTTGGTGAATGCCCAAGCCGAGGTTTCCTAGTCCGGGTTAGTTGCAGTCTCGTACCAGCCGTTCCTGTCGCCGCCAAACCCGAAAGAAAAATGGTCCGCATGACTTCCAATTAGTACAAGTGATTTTACGCTACCAACGCTGCAATGGCCGCTGTCACTATGCTAACAAATGAAGAATCGACAGGGTAATTATCTTTAGAATGTATTTTTTAAGGTCTTTATCTAGGGCTAGCCAAAAAACAACGGTCCAAAACAGTTTGATCTAAATGGTCAAAGTCAAAACCCATCAAAAGGAATCCTCAATGGATTATTCAGTAGATAGTCCTCGTAGTAATCAAACTGTGAGTTTAAACCTGTAATAGATTTCAGCTATATTTAGTTCTGAAATATATCAACAAAGCTCGATAGATATACGTAGAAGAATGCAAGGGTTCGTGGGAGATTCAATAAAAATGAAAGTTTGTTGTGTAAAAGTAAGCTCGAGATATTTCGAATGAGAAACAGTTCCGTTTTGCTTCCTTTTACATCCGGTAAGGTCAAGTATCACTTTATGACTGACTCCTGGATGGTTTCTATTTATTCCGTTTTATCTTTTTATATTACGAGGTTCGTTTATTAGGACGCTTTATCTCTCATTTTCGCTGGCCTTTCTAAAATAGGTAATCCACGACCACGGTTAGTAACGAAAATGTGTGGGTCGTGTTGTTGCAGACAAGATGAAAGTGGAGCTGACTCTCTTGCAATCTAGAAAGAGAACGAGAACTCAACACCCACTGGTTTTTGCTTTTGACGAAACGAAAATAATTAATAATGTAAGCATTTCTGCTTTGGATTAATCGAATAACAAGAAACCGAAACATTTTTAAAGTGCGTTTTCATTTGTTGCAATCTTTATGCGAAAGTAAAGTTTATCTTATCCCTTGTGATTGCGATCGAACAATATGACATTATTTGCCTTTTGGTATATCATAAATGTACGCAAAAGGTAAACTAATCCGACATTTTTTTCAAACTCACAAGGCTCTTATGATAATTTAATATTTTCGTATACACAATAATTTTATTGGAACATTTTTGTCCATTCAATATCGTCGCACAAATTTGCATATCCACACACGAACAATACCAAATTGCTTCTAAGTCAGTCATTCACCAAGTTTCGTTACAGCCGATCAATTTCTGCTTTGAGAATATCAAGATTTTTACTCAGAAGTTTGTTCTCTTCTATAACGGCTTCCAGTTCTTTCTTGATGCTCTGGTTTTCGATCGCGTTCTTGTTTACGATACGCTCCATTTGCTCTATGATCCGTAAAAACTTTAACTTGGTCTCGGATTTTAACGCCTTCTGTTCGATTCCGTACGAATCGGATGAAACGTTTTCACTGGATTTCGGCTTGTACATTAAACTTCCTGGACCGTTGTGTCCATAAGTTCGCAAATTATGCCTGTTCAAACTCTCCGATCTCGTCAAAGGTTTCACTAGAGTTATGGAAGACACCTCGTCGAAGACGATCTCTCCATCGGAAATTGAAGGTCTCGACATTACCGTTCCCATATCGGTTTCCATTTCTCGTACAGAAAGTTTTTTGTCCAAGTTCACGGGACTCATAACTTCCATGATTTCCGCGTCGTCGTCGAACTCATCCAGGTATTCGTCGTTCTCAGTTGGGACGAAATTTTCTGTAGTGAAGATCGATGGTGGTGCTGTGGATGGGATGGGAGGCGGGGTTTTAGTAGGTGGTGATACGATGTTGGAAGAAGTATTTTTCGTACTGTTGTTCACCACAAGAATTGTGTTCGTCATTACTCTACCAGTACCAATTTTGTTGACAGGATTTTCGTCAATTGTGGAATTTTTTTTCTTTTTAAGATGGTGGACTCCCCAGGACGTTTCTTCCTGGCTTTCCTCAGGCGTTGTTGTTGATGTTGGCACAGGCTTTGCAGAGGGAGCCACCTGAAAGAAGATTCGGTAGTTATCCTTGCTTAAATGAAGCACAGGTCGAAAATTGTACTTACTTGTACCTGATCGTGAGCATTGTTTTCTTCATTTGGATTTTTAACGATCGATTCGACTGAAGAATTCTTTTGTAGTTTGATCTGCTTCTTTTTTTTCAATTCTTCTAGCCAAGGAGGTGTTGTTACCGGTAGAGCCATTTTAACATTTTCGTTACTGGGGACGGTTCTGAAACCCAAATTGGCAAGTCTGATTCTTGGCACGCTGTCAGTTTGATGGCGGGTGCTTTCCGAATCGCCTGTAGCGTTTACGTCGTCTTCTAGGCTCTCTTCTTCGTGTTCTTCATCTAAATGGAGAATGTTTTCTTTGAGAAACAATTGACTAGGAGGTCTACCAGAGCTTCGAACCCTGGTGCGTCTGTTATCTTTTAAGGGTTCTGTGTAAGGGACGTCCAAAATTTCCCCTGACATTTCCACATTCATGATATGAAAACTGAAAGTAGCATCGATAATTTTTGATTCGAATTTTGAGTTATTAACTTAATCTGTATTTATTAGGGTTTTATTAGATTATTGCATGATAAAATGTTATTTTATTAGGTGTAGGTACGATTTTCTACTTGATATAACTTTGAGTTATACTTATATATATTATTACTTATTTCCTTTCATATATATGTACGAACCCATCGGGTATTAGTATTGGTTTACTTTCATTTTGGTAATACATACATATGCACATAAAATTTCTGAAAAACTTACGCGGTTATGGAATTATGTAGTAAACTTAATTAGATGTTTATTAGCAATTAAGTCTATGATGCAACTTTCAGTCTATTACTTCTGCAGAAATTGCTTCTCCTGAACGTTTTCACTTTTGCAAATTTCGCTGGCAGAATTGCTCAATTTTGAAAACACGAAATACTGAAAAATCCTTAAAAAAAACTGTCTAATTTTTACGTTCAAATATTAAATTGAATCTAAAGGTGTCATACTGTCTGTCATATGTCACCGCAATTCGTTCAATTGATATAATGAACTTTTTTCGCAGTATATGTATACAGAGTGATCTCCTGTTGTTATTAACAGGTGTTACCTTGGTGCCTAATTACCCAACCGACTTAAGTCTTACTTTTAATTGGTGGTTTGTTATTGGGTATTATAAATTCATAAATCCATTACACTGACGGCGTAAGACGTGCCTATATTGATTGATTTAATGTCGTTAGGGGAAAATTATCTGAAGATGTCAACGAACAAGTCGACCATTTAAAAGTAATTAGTAAGAAGGGCCTCTATCGTGGATTTTCCAAGGGCACTTTGTTGTATCTATGTTAGAGTATTGATTTTAACAATTATTCTATTTTGGTAGTACGGGACCAAATTAAATATTTACAGGGATCAAGTTTGTGGTGGTCTATTCACTTACTGTTACGAGTTTTTTTCATTTCATAACGGCTTTGTACTAATCCTTTCATTTTCCGATTCTATAATCCTCATTAGTTTTATCTGTTCTGAGAATTAGCGCACCTTACCTATATAGACTAGAAATGGTTTCAATTGTACCAATATTTGTCCAAAGAATTTAGCTGTTATCACTTTATGACAAGGATAAATATAAACGATGTCACGTAGATTTTAAAACAATGAAATAAATTTATCTGTAATAATTCGAAAATAATATACAAAATATTACTCATCTAAATCTACCACAAAAGTAAAATTATTTCTAATAGTGTACAGTGAAAAACACCAAATAACTTACCTTTTGTTTAGAACACTCTATTATTGTTGTGATAGTCCTTCAGGTGACAACAATCACTATTTAAATAATAATAAATAAATAAAAACTATTAAACTTAACTTATAACATATTAACTGTCTGAAGTGCGAGTCGTGTTTGAACTTACGCTTTGTTGAAGTAATTGAACATATCAATTTATGATAATGCCTCGTTTCAATGATAAGAAATCGAAGTGATAGATTGATTCGATAATTTTTTTTACGATTACCTGTTCATTTTAAAAATAGAAACAGCTTATTACCTGTTTGATTTTCTACTTACGTGCATTTATTCAAAGCTAGCTACACTGTACAGTACAGTAAATATTTATTTCATGTTATGTTTATTGCTAAATATATTAAATATACTACTAGTGCAATTGAAAACTCTATCTCTGTAGGTGAAAATCTATACAAAGTCTTTATGGTTAAAACTATATTGAATACAATGAATGGAATATCAGAAAGTACATTAAAAAAGGTATAATAAAATTCTTTAGCCGATAACTGTAGTTCTTCCCACCTTTGTAAATCTTCTGTTTGATCCGTTTTTTCACTGATAAAGCATGAAACTTGGTCACTATTGTTACAGAAATTTATAGAACAATCGGCTTCTGTGTGTTCGTCGGGGATTTTCTTATATTTGTTTTGAAAAGGATTCGTACAATCGGGAATTTGAAAGATTTCTGGCAAGATTCCATCTATCCCACGGGAATTAGAAGTCGAAGTGTCATTTTCTTCTCTAGATGAGATTTTAGACTCTTTAAAATCACATGTACTTGAAGCAGAAGAAATAGGCATACGGGAAATTGAAGATTCTGTAGCAATTTGTATCTTCCTTTGTCTTTGTTCTTTATCACTGCATACAGATTGAGTGGAACCATTTTGTAATTCCTCAAATCTTTTGATAATTGTACTCACTTTGAAGCTAGATTCCATTATCTTCTTTTTGCCTTTGTTTTGTCAACCTGTAAAAATGAAATCAAAAACTACTTTGTACAAAAAATGCTTACAATTTACCTTTTCTTTTATTGAAAAAAGCAGTCTTAATTGATTCTACCTTGCTTGTTTTATCCTATTGTGGCAAACCGTTACACACTTAAACAAAGGTTACACATGTATGTACTTTGTAGATTCTCTTATTCCACAATTTATGATAAATACTTATCATGCGCCAGATAAACTGCAGTATAAAAACAAAATCAATCATATTAGGGAATTATTATTTATTCCATAAATTATGGTGTGTTCTTGCCGAGGGGTCAGAATACGACAATTATTAAGCACTCGGCACCTATACAGGGTTTGTCCGGAAAGTAATAGGACTGAGTCGATTTAAAAAAATTTATTGACCCAATCGTTACAATTCTTTAAAAACTTTCAATAAGGGCTCCTTCTGCGTCGATGCAACGCTGCCAGCGCTATTCCAAGCATTGAAGGCGTCACGGAAGCCATTCTCCGGAATAGCCTTAAGAGCCGCGGTGTATGCTGCTTGGACCCCCTCTGTCGTCTCAAAATGCTTGCCTTTCATCGGCCTTTTCAGGCGAGCAAACAAAAAAAAGTCCACGGGGGCCACATCTGGGCTATAGGGCGGCTGCGGAAGCGTTGGGATGCCGGTCTTGGTCAGGTAGCTGTCCACAAGAAAGGCGATGTGAGCCGGGGCGTTGTCGTGGTGCAACTTCCAGTCGACTGTGATGTCTTCTCGGACCCGATTGACCTTTCGTTTGAGTCTCTTGAGCACTTCCACATAAAACTTGGCGTTGACGGTTTGTCCAGGAGGAACAAATTCATGATGGACGATGCCTTTCATGTTAAAAAAGACAATGAGCATCGTTTTCACTTTGGATTTGCTCATTCTTCCCTTTTTTGGGCGAGGAGACGCTGGCGTGTGCCACTCGGAAGATTGCCTCTTTGTCTCGGGATCATACTCAAAGATCCATGACTCGTCACCTGTGATTAGGTTATTCAAAAATTGGGTGTCACTTTCACACATGTTTAAATTTTCGGCTTGCACCATACACCGAATCCAGTCGGTGCGGCACGCTCCGAAGTACAGTCGCGGTGGAAGGAAATCAGTCCTATTACTTTCCGGACAAACCCTGTATAATAGTCCCTCGCCGAATATCAATACCAAAGTATTCTTTAAAGATGAAACAAATGAAGTACATTAGAAAATTTCTTGTTATTTTTGCAGACGATTGAAGGCCGAGCTTTTAAATTTACGTAGAAAGGGCGCTCTAAAAGCTTCAGCCGACTGGGACAGCACAGGACCGGATCCGGACAGAAGTTGCGGACGATGCAGGGCAGAACTGGGTCGTATCATCAACAGGGGAGCCTACTGTCCATCTTGCAGGCTTAAGGTGTGCAAGGGGTGCAGGGAATATACGTTCAGGACAACCGATTGGATATGCACCGTGTGTCACAAAAGAATGTAGGTATATTTCAAAGAAAATAATAGAAATTATTTTTCGTTTTTATAAAAAATAATAAAATAAAATGATAATTATTAACGAGTGTTATGATATTTTGTACTAATGACCTTGAAAATTTGTTGCGGTTACTTAAACCTTGGATTTTTCACCTAGAACCGGTACTGCACTACCCATACATCAATTAGTTTAAATAAACATTAAGAAAATAAGTGTACGATTGTGCGTACTTACAATTTGTTTTACGTAGGTAGTTACTTTCACTGACATTGGAAAAAATTTTGTTTGTTTCTCGATTTCTTTTCCTTTTTGTCCAGTCCAGTTTAACTGACAATTTTGCACAACTTCAATGGGTGCATATAATAAAATAAAATTGTCATCATACTCATAATGGCGTAACAATGTGATAATAATTGTGACTGTTTCGTGAACGATCGATCGATTGAAAAAGTATCTCCATGAGACTGTAACAAATGATAATCGTTTTTTTCAGACCACAAAAAACACTCAATAATTAATTAAACAAAGGACTGATAAACTGAAAATTGAAACCAGTTAAAGTAATTAAAAAGTAGGTACATAGACACTAGTTTCAATTTGAATTCTTTTTGATCAGCTATAAGGAATCAATTTGGAATCAAAATTGTTGCTGATAAGGTAAACAAGCCCAAACTTTACAGTGTACAGGTGTTATTGTAACGTCATCCAACACTCTCTAATAGCCTTATCACAAACCAACTGATAAAAGTCAATTTACTTTACTTAATTTGCGTGTAGGTGTTTCAACTTCCGATATTTGAACTGTGCACGCCATTACGTAATTATGTATTGAGACCACGCAGTTTACTGTAAATAGAAGTCAAAATTGTGTTTTCATAGTCAGTTTTACTTCATTACTGAGTACGCAACACGTGCAGCGTGCATTTATTGAAAGAATTCCACGGACGCTACCATAATAATAGTGAGTCATATTCCATGCTTTGTCAACCTATATGCGGCCTGTGCGTGAGTCACAAATGTTTCAAAGTGCATCTTTAATTCCAGGGAAATTCAAACGATATCGGGAGAATGGATGAACGAGTTCATTCGAAAGCCCAGCAAGAGGAGAGACAATCGCGTTTACGTACCTGCTGCGGACATTATTAAAAGGACAATCAGAAGGTCTTGGACCATATCAAGTAAGTTTTTGACCATCGCCTGTTACATAAAAAGTTCATCAAGTTCCACTTCATTTCAGATCCACTGCCCAGATGGAACGCTCCGAGAGGTTCCTCAGAACTCAGACCGTACAGCAGCCTTCCCAGGGGTCAAGACATCAACAACTACCCCTCTTTATCAATGTATAATACCAGAAAGCCGTCAGCGAATGGTACCACCTCGAAAAGCGAATCCCAAGAGGCAAAATCCGAATGCCTGGAAGACGCGAATAAACAACAAGAAAGCGGCGAGCTCAGCAAAGAAACAGCCCATGAAAAAACACCCACTACAAGTGGAAATAATGGAAACCCATCTGTACAACCCCAGGAAGACGCCCACAAAATGGAGAGCGACGGAAAAAAGTGCGTTGTTAGAGAAAATCCACTGATGAAAGCTGCCAAAGAAGGGAAACTCAATCCTGCTGCTGTCGCTTTCGAAATGCCCATAAAGATTATCAACCCCATTCCAACAGTCACCCAAAAAGAAGCTCATTCTAAACAAGAAACAGATGATATCTCTCCTGATACGCAAAAGAGTGAAGACCAAGACGTCCTTCCGGATCCTAGAACTCCAGAAAAGTCACCCAAGAAGAGAAAAAATCTCCCCAGCCCGTTTCAGAAGCGGGTAAGTTTCGAATGCAAGTCTGGGGACGAGAGCGACGGGTTCGATGGTACCATCAAGAAGAAAGAGTCGGACGTATTCAAAAAGCTGACGTCCAAATCGTTGGAAATCGAAAGGCCAAAATACAGTGGCGTCAAAATAACATCCAAGTCACTGGAAGGACCCGTTCCATCCACCACCACTGTTCCAACTCCTATCTTGAAGAACGAAGACGTGGACGGAGAGTCCAGGAGATCATCTTCGGAACACGATTCCGAAGTATCGTCTGGATCGGTGTACAGAAGGGTCACGGTGAGAAGAAGACGACAAGATCTGAGGAAGATGGCAACCGTCGATAATGGTAAGTCTTCACGTTTCACTCATTTTCTTCTCCCTGCTGGGATGCACCACAAATTTTCCCCCATGTGCGCCATGTTTTTTAGGCTCCTCCTGTTTATGGGTAGCAACATCATTTCGCCTTTGGCGCTTTTTCATTTTTAATAACTTCTGTACGCTCTCAGGTTTCCGTAACTAACGATTATTGCTACTAAGTAAGGAATATTTGTTGGCTATTCTTAGCTTGAATAAGCACTGTGTAGTAATTAATTAATATACGCTTTAATTAGTCCTGTAACGTAACGCTTGCAGCGCAACAAAATGTGCCTGAGTGGAAGATAATGATAAAAAATTACTGGTGTTAGTTTGTTCTTTCTTCACTAGCGTTTGCTCGAAGAAAGTAGAGTAGTTATTTTTATGCATTACAGCGCAAAATTAACAGCTGAATGTATATTTACTTATATTAGAAAAGCGACTAATAAAATTTTCCACATTTTCTTTTGTCATAAGGAAATATCTAATTTAACGAGACAGTAGAGATCAATGCGAGGTTTAATGATATTCTAATTTTTTCAGATTTTTTAAATAATTGTCTTATTAGAAAGCTTTAAACTTAACTATTACGTTTATTTAAATTTATTATTTCTTTTCTTCAATAAAATAATTTACATATTATAAAACTCCAATTAACACACCCAGTGTTTCTCGCGAAAGAAACCGCGGGGATCGGGCGTTTTTCTTTTATTTTACTTCAATTTGCAGTTCTTGGTTTTCTTATTCGTGTAAGACTGTAAAATAAGTTGACCATAAAGTTCGTCGACGTGCAGATTCAACCCCTGCAACCTGAAGACATTTATACGTTTTCTGTCGGTCTGTCTCTCAACGAAAAAGAAGTTCTTGTTTGAATATATGGTTGTTGTAAACTGGCAAGGAAAAAAATACAGTTCGTTGTGTAATTTATCCTGTTATACGTATAGTTTCTCTGATCTGGTTTTATATCACGTATTTGACTCCCACGCGTCTTCTCGTATTTGGTTACGTTAAAGTTCATAAAAAAACAACTAAATATCATCGCACCAACTTTACGAAATACATAGGCTGTTATGCGATGTCGAATCTGATAGGCATTGAAATAATTTATTATTTAGAAGGCGAACTTAATGTGTAATTCCTTTAAACACCTTTTGGATCACGAAAATATTAAATACGTTTTAGGTTATTTTACCATAAGAATCTTCGTTAATCCAGTATCCAATAAAAACAAAATATGATTAATTTTATGAAGCTACTTTTGATGTATTTATTTCCTTTTAGATAATTCTTTAATTGAGTTTACTGTCCAATTACAATTGATTAATTTTTCTTTGTTCCATTGCTTAACTGTTTTCGTCTACTAATAACATTTCATGGGGTGTAGTTAACATTCTGTAAAACTCTGTTAGCGTCGTATTTCTGTGCTTGCCCACTCTTACCATTTGCACCCACGCATCAGAACAATTAAAGGTGGTGGTTGTTGTAAGGTAATAAAATACATAAAACGTCTGTTCGTTGGTCACAGTCCGTATCAACTCTCGCGGCAACGACGGCAACGTATGACGCGTGTACATGTCCATAACAAGGGACCCATGGTATGTGGGCGCCCACCGCTTCTTATGGTGGCGGGTTGTCTCGAGTTCTCTGTAGTCAGTAACAAAAGTCACTTTACCCCGTGCAGGTTGGCGCCGTAGTACAGAGTCTTCCGAAATTCTCGACTTCCTTCTACCTGATGGCGACGATTACAAATTGGTCTTCATCAATTCCGATAGCAGTTCGAAAGAGGAAGACGTAGATGACAACGACAGTTCTTCCACAGCGTCCAGTTTCATGATAGACGAATGCGATTGGGATTATTTTGAACCAGCGTGCCCTCCGCCTCGCACAGTCATCAATTGGAACTCGCCTTTCGGTTCTCCCCATTTCTATAGACGTAGCGCGTTATCTTCCCCGCTAGGTTCGCCTTTGGTGTACAGGAGGAAGAAGAATTCCGACATTGAAATCGATGAGAGACGATACAGCAGCTCGCCGACTTCTTCCGACAGTTTTTGCATGAAAACTAGGGACGCTGAAGAAAGTTTGCCGACTCTCCAGAAGAGTGTCGCGGAAGAGAACTCGATGTTGCAGTGCATCCATCAGGAGACCAGCGAAAGACAGGGGAGTTTGTGTCGAAACTGCGGAAATCCCCCGCAGTACATACCGATCCCAGTCCCAGTGCCGATTCCGGTTCCCGTTTGGCCCCAACAGTCTTCCGAATCGGTGGAACAGTTCTTGCGCGCGCGGGTCTCTCAGTTTTCTCGTTCGCTCTTTCCAAATGCGAACCCGTTTCCGTTCGCTTGGCCGCTCGTGAGCGGATCCGCCGCCGACTGGACTTCCTTGTTTTCTCTTCAGCAGCACAATGCGATCGACGCTACCAGTGCTATGCCGGTCGCGGAAGACGAATCGGTGCCGCCGCCGATCGACGACGACGACGATAATAATGGTGAAAGCGCCGGTTCTCAAAAGCAGGAGCAGGTGGACGTCAAATTGCAACAGCCCGAGGACGAAAGAGAAATTGCGATCGACTGTGTCGAGATAGGGGGTCATCTGGACGTGGAAAAGTCTAACGTGTTCTCGGAAGCGTCGTCCGACAATAGTGACAGTGAAGTTGAATCCGAAGATGAGAACGGAAATCAGAATCGCATTCCTCTGAGACGGTCTTACAACGTGACGGGTGACACTCGTGAAAGTGACGATGCGCTTCCGAGCAGTGACGTGTACAGTGATAACGACGAAGAAGGACGCTTGTCGCAGACATCCTTCCGCGAAGACGACTCCAGCTCGTCTGGATCGGCGGACACTGACAGTGACGATACCGGTACTGTAGCCGACCAAAAACCCAATCGGTTCTCCAGAGTTTTCGTCGTCAATCCGAAAAGTTCCTCCAGTTCTTCGTCATCGTCCGATAACGATAACGATTCCAACAATGAAAAAGTGATCCTCAAGAATATCAAACGTTTATCCGAACACGAAATCGACCTGAACGATCAACACCCTGAAGGTGGAAAGAAGCAACTGGGCTGGTTGTCCTCCAGCCCGGCGCTGAGCGACGTGAGCGCGGAATCGCTCAACTCCAGCAGCGATACCGACGACGAGGCATCTGCAAGCGAGAAAAACGAAGAGGAAAAAGAAAAGTCCATTGCTGGTGCACACATTGATAACGCCGGTGCAAGTGTTCCGCTCTTTCCACTCGAAAGCGTCGAGCTTGACGACGTTGTTGTTAGTGTGGAGGGGAGCCCACCTGCCGGAGGTGAGCGGGCAGGTGAGCTGGCGGCAGTTGTTAGCGAACACGATGATGGTGCGCTGCTACGCCAACCGGCGCGTTATACGAGTCTTGTCATGATAACTCAACAAGAGTCTTCGACGTATCCCCAAGTCAGCGTTGTCTCCAACGACACTACCAGCCTATTGCCCGACGTGATAGTGCACCACAAGAATTGCGAAGATTTCACCTCATCGCCGTTCTCATCGACGACGACATCATCCTCCGTGGAAGATAAACAAAGAAGCCAAGGTCCTTGCGAAGAAAGCGTGACTGTGGTTTCTAGCGCTACCACGCTGTCAAACGTAGTGTGTTTAGAAGAAGGCCTCGCCGATGATGACTCGTGGGTCGAAAATCTGAGCCACGACGAAGATGACGGCAGGCTTCTACCTACAACCTCCGAGGATGGATCGACGTCCGGTGACGAAATCACTCTCACGTGCACTGCCGCAATCGACCAGGAAGACGAACTCCGCGGTTACCATCGATCGGCGATCGATTTCACCCTTCACACCATCGTTGAAGAGAGCTGCGAGGAGAGTGAAGTTGAACAGGGTGGCAAACAGAAGAAAGCGAGACCACATTCGACCACTGATCTTGAAAAGTACTTCTTCTTTGGCCTCGGAGACGGCAACATCCCCAACGCTAATCAAGTACGCGAAGACACCGTTTCCGAAACGTCCAGCATCTGTAGCGAAGGACTCGATTCCTTTGGTGGCAACGAGGAATGCAGATCGCTGGACAACGATCCCAACGAGCTAGCAACGTCCAGACTAGAAAAATATTTTCTGAGCGGTTTCATGGGCTTCACGACACGCAGGGACTCAGACGGCAGTGTAGGAAGTGACAGTGAGGGACACCCAAGTCCAGAACAACGCAGAAAGCGCCTCGTACGGGCACGTGGCACCGGAAGATCGCATTCCTCCTCGCTGGACAATTTACTAGCCCACGAGTTCTCTACCTCTGAACAACAGAATGACGTCACTGGTAACTCCGGTTGTTCCTCCAGTTCCGACACTGACGTCGTCGAAGAAAGTAATTTCGAGAAGTTGGACGGACAGTTCGACACGGTAAAACGGAAGAAATGCAAGAAACAACGAAGCATGGCAAACGGATCCAGTTCTTCGATGGAAGAACTAAAGAATATCGAAGAGACGAAGGAATGTTTACGAGAATTCGAAAGCGATGACCATATCAAAAAGGACTTCGATATGTTGACGTTGAACAACGACAATGCAACTACGAAACAGAGCAGAGACAGCGGCTTCGTAAGCAGCAGCGATGACCTCCTCAAAGACCAAAAAGACTCGATAGAAAACTCCCACAGCAACTCTAAGACTGAACTTAAACTAGAACTAGAGAGCATAGCCGAAGAGAAGAAAGTAGACGAGAAATATAGCGTATACACCACACCGCCAGCCACTTCGCTAATCCGAAAGGACAGTTTCAATAATTGGAGCTCGGACGAAGAAACCAATCTTATGATGTCCAAAATGCGCCAGTTTTTCAAAACGATGGTGGCAAGCTACAATACACAAAGTTCGCAGTCTTCCAAACCCACGACACCAGTATTGGGCGTTCAAGCTTCAGAAGCTTCCACGACCTCCACTCCTCGTTCCAAGTACCGCCTGAAGCCGCCCCAACTGGTGTACTTCGAAAACGAACTCACAAGACTGATGAAGACGGTGCCGGGAATCCGAGACGACCAAGTTCGAGAAATTGTCGAATACCTCAGCAGCGAAGATACCTGGAGCGATTCGTACGACTCATCTGACTACACCAGCTCGGATCTGGAAGGAAATGCGGGTACGAAGGCCGCCCTTCAACGACAAATTTCTGACAGTTGCCAACAAATAATTAATAAATTCGACACTAACGACAAGGAAGGGGACGAAGGCGACGGCGGATTAATCGAAGAGCAGGCCAGTGTGAATCCCGAGACTGCTCTCGTTTATCAAAAGCTTGTAGCTTCCATTGAAAAATTGACCACATATGACGACGCCGATCTGAAGGCCCGTACTCCTCACAGTTCGCCTCCCATCATAGCAAAAGTGATGCACCATATCGGGAGCCGTTTGGTCGCGTTAATGCATGAGGTATCAAGCGGAGAAAGCCACGTCAGTAGCAGCAGTCCCAAATCACGTTATTACCACAGAAAACTGCATCCAAAGCTTTCGAACGCTTCCTCTACAACCACAGAAGATGAGGATAGCTTGGCAGACTTCTCGCCGTCCACATGGGCCGAAAAGAGCAACCCCGAGGAGCAGAGGATCCTCCACGACGTCCTTCAACGTAGCAAGTCCCATGATGTACTCCTTGCCGAAAGCACAAATCTCCACCAATCCAGCAGTGGGGTGTCAGATATCGCAGAAGAGCGTGAGACCAGCGACTATGAACGATTCAGCTGGAGGGGTAGTTTTGAATCCGCCCTAATGGCAACCGATTCCAGGAACAAACTCTCTCTCATCGGATCGGAAGGATCTGCGTCAGCTTCCGCCTTGGCCATCGCGGCCAAACGCAGGTCCGCGGGTGATCTCATCTTTAGTCACAAAAGCTTAAGTAGGGAACAGTTGGACAGGGTGCGAAGTTGCGGCAGTATCGGGGGTGGTAACAGTGAGGACAAGCTGTGGGTGAGTGCGGAGAATAGACCGACAAAGCGTCGATTGAGTGTTCCCGATGCTACAGCGGGATCTGGCGTTTCGGCAGATGGAGAAGACGACGAAGACGAAAAACTGGGAACGAGATCGACGCTCCCGAGAAGCTTGCAGGTGAATACCGCAACAACGAATTCTCTGCCCCGATTGCCCACAGCCACCCCGTCTCCTAATATGCACAAGAGTCAGAGTATGTGCCACTTCTTCCAACCGAATGCCAAGAGTGCCCGGTATCGTCCTCCAGGATTCGGGAAGTTTGCGTCTCCTAAACGGGCCTTCTCTGCCCCAGGACTGCAACCCTGCCATCGGAGAAGGACCAGGAAATCTCAACCGAATCTATTAACCGGTGAGTTAGTTCTTCTTTTTTTTTTCTTTTTGTTTACATTTTTAATCGTGTCGTAATAAAAATGAATGCAATTTGTTAATATTTCTGAAACGCTCCATTATCTAATCGACGGACATATTAATTTTTATGAATGACGTCTCTACCATGACAGCACGGAAATACCAGTTTCGATGGGCACGTTCGTAACGTCACTCCTTACGAATTCTAAGGTCAAAGTGTTGGCTCTAATTAAAATTGTTGTTTCTTTCAAGTAGGTAACTGTTAGATACTGTCCATGAACATCAACTACTTGCCTCTGCCAACATTTATATTTAACGATAAACGGTCTCATCACTTGAAATATTTGTTACACCGTTTGATGTCGATTTTCATTTACGTGTTTGCTGGTGGATGACGTAGTTTTTGCCATGGAAAACAATGGAGTGTGGCTAAAGGCATTGTTTTGAAACAAACGCTATCGAATACAGCGACCCACTGAGATTTTAACGTGCAAATTCATTTTTGTTGCTTGTTTATTAAGTTCGTACAAATTAAAAACAACGTCAGAAAACAATTGAAATTATAAAACAACTAAAAAAATGAAGACAAAACGAAAGTATTATTAATAGAAAATTGGATTTCTGTTTATTATTTAACTGAAATTGAGTTGGCATACATACATAGAGAGCGGTAGACAGATTGAGTTTTAATTATTAATATCCAATTTTCAACAATGGCGTCATGCTCATCATCTCGTTAAGTATTCGATTTTCAACGTGAGCGTACTGCAAATTTTTATTCTATCAAATAAATTAATGGAGTAATATCCTTATTGTTATTATATCGGTTGATATTCCAACAGCTAGACGCGAGTGTTATTTGTACAAACCATTTTTATTAAAACAATAATGACGTAAGCTTAGGGAGTGATTCAAATAGTAATAATTGCGCAAACGAGTCTAGCTACATATTTATTAAATTTGTTGTTATTGCAAACAAAGCGAGAAATGTTAACTAACCGATAAACTCGATTTGGTAAAAGGAACAATTTGGAAAAGTGGAACGCTTATCCAGCAGAAACGGTAATTAGACGTAAAACCCATGACCAGGTACACATACCTACCCATTTTTTACGTCGGAAATCAATTGGAAAATGAACTAAGAAGAAAATTACAAAAGTATTATTTCCTCATATATAACATTTCTAACAAAAATTATAACCACTTATTATTATTTCAAGTCATTCAACTCATTCTCATTTAAGTGCCCAATTGTTTTATATTTATAACAACCAGATATCACAATCGGACGACCTCTGGGTTCGTTTTTCTTCTTTTGTTTGTATCTGCATATGTAAAAACAAAACAAAAACGGTCAGATTTTGTCAGATTCGTTTTCCATCTGACCGGTTGTAGTGTTGTAGAGGTCAAGGCGTGGCACAGAAAGTTCGCGTTTTAAGCGACAAAAGAAACAATTAACAAAGAAGCAAACAATTAAATAAAAGACTATTCAAATGGAAGAAACTGAATGTTTTTTTGTATTGAGTGTGTGAAATTTCTGCTGGTGAGTCTTAAAACAAAATTTACTTCCAAGATTTGTTGAAATTTGTCTTCAGAAACAAATGAATAATGTGTCATTGTATTTCACTTGTTGACGGCCAATTTTGCCATCATTTTTACACCTTACTCTACGTGCATTAAACAACCGGAAAATTTTCATTTGCATTACCTACGACAAGTCATCGACCTTCCAATGCGGACATGCAAAGACGAAAAGTACCTACCTACAATAATTATATTATTTAAAAGCTAGAACACATGAACAAATGCGACATGAATGTTGTGTGAGTTATTGTAAAAATGTTATCGATAAAAGAAAAATCAATTGGAATTATTTATGGGTATATAAAATATATCTGCAGATATATTTTTTATAGAACTTGAGTGGTTTAATACTGATAAACAGTCAATAATAAATTTCGTAAATAAAAATATCAAAAATTAAGCGTAATAAATTGAGTATCGTATGTGACAAAATGTGAATGTTTTTGTTAGTAATTTTTCACTTAATGGCAATTCCATGGACGACTGAGTTGCAACAATTGCTACAAGACAGATATCGAAAAATTTTGTAAGAAAAAGGCCTTGCTGTAGTTGCAGCTTCTGATTGACTAACTGAACATTTTAATCGCAAATCGCTGCAAATCCAAAGAATGACGGATTATTTCGGTTTAGAAAGCTATCGGAATTTAAGAACAAAACATTCGGTAGCGTGATGCATATCTCCGTTTGTGGGTCAAGGTAACACACATTCCAATGAATGTCCAACGACCAAAATAGAAATTATAGCTTTGGGAAAGAGAAAATCCCATCGAGAGAGAGCTTGAAACCTGTTGTTGGAAAAAGCGAAAGAAGCGAATTAACCAATAACGTTCGAGACTCTGGTCGAATACGTAGGTACACCGTGAAGATGTATCATTTAAATTGATGTCACAATTAAACATTAAACTAGACGACTTTGGTACCATACTTTTTGTGGTGCAAAACAGAAATCTTAAGAAAATTTTGGAACATTCAATTAAACAGTTCAAAAACATATAGGGTTGTTCGGAAAGTCATTTCGTTTTTTTTGTGGAAATGAAAGACAGTTTTCGTATAATAAACAAATACTTTATTAAATTATATATTGACCGTTCTGGTCCAACACCTTTTGCCATCTTTCTGGTAGTAGCGCAATTCCACGCTCATAAAATTTTTGGTCTTTGCTGGCAAAAAACTGATCGAGGAAAAACTGATGATGTTGATCGCGTCTTCGATGTATAGATTAAAAAGCAGCGGTCACAGTGTGCATCCCTGTCCGACTCCCTTCCTAATATTTACTTCTCTACGTTGCAGCTCCAGCTCTATAACTGCCTGTTGCTGTTTATACAAACTAAGTATCGCTCTTCTATCTCTGTAACTCATGCCTACATTTTTAGGTCTATCAGTCTATCTCCCCTATCATTTCTATTGCCTAATCCAAAAGAACCTGCTCTATTACACCATCTTTACCTTCACCTATTACTGAGTTAAACTCTCCTACAACAATTAGGCTTTCCTATCTTTTCACTAAACATAATACGTCTTCATCACTGTAAAATGATGTAGGCATGAAGACCTGCACTATTACCGTTTTTACCAGCTTCTGGTAGAATACCTCAGTAGGTAATAAAAGAAACGTCAATTGTTGGAATTAAAAACGGTTTTAAATGTGGATTGTGGATAATTCTTCATTTAAGTACGTACCTTTCGTTGAATCCAAAGTGGCTTGATTTAACGGTATAGTTTTACGCTGTTTGATTTTAACATATTCTATTAGAGACTGTAGTTGGCGTCAACTTGAAACAATTGATAGTTACCTACCAAATAAAGAATTCGTTTTTTTTTTTTGTATAGGTAACACGTAACATTGAAGACGGTGGTTCTTCCGAAACCTAAACGTTTCTGAAATAGTTCTTTGTATCTGTTTTCTTTCTAACTTGTTTTTATCCTTTTTTAAGTATGATTTTCGCAGTAAGTTAACTCTATTCAATTTGACGTCAACTTCCAATAACTTTTATCTATCAGTTTGATTTGATTTTTTTATCGGACACTTTTGCTGTCTGTCTCGCAGATTGACGGAACAATCAATGATACATCGGACTGTACATGAGTGTATATGAACTAATTAGTTTTCGGTAGATTCGCAACAATTTGAATTCAGCTTTCGCTAGACAGAACTCTGAACTGAAATATTGCACTTGTCACAAGTTTACAATGCGGTTCTAATTCGCCGCAATAGCGGCCAGAGAAAGATGGGAAAAAACGAAGGAATAATTTCTTTGGTGAATAGAGCAAGGCATAGTCTACTTCACAGATTGACATAACCGGATCTAGGACTAATTAATGTTTTCTTTGTATTGCGATGAAAGTTTTCAGATATGAGAGTCTACAAGCAATAGTGAATTAAAATTAAAATGAATGTTTATCTTGGTCGTATAATTAGTGTAGAGTTGTTGAATAATAATAAAACTATATTCTACTAAAACAAAAAAAAAAAACACCATCTGCTAAAACAATCGCACAAATAATAACTAAAAATAATAGTGCATACAGTACAATAAGTTAATATGATAAAGTTTGCCTTTGTGTGATTGTTGATTTGTACGGTAGAGTTGCCACGTTCGTCGGTTAGTAGACATAAGTCCACTGAACTCATTTTGCAAGAACAAAGAACTGAGTCTTGTGGCAGTCAGCCTGAGACGAAAGCAACGCGAACTAATTTCTTTCAATTAAATCTAGAAATTAAACAAGACAGCTGGAGCCGAAGGCCTACCTTTTGCACCAGCGATAGCCTTGGCTTAGCCATAACGTAATGACGTAAGGAGTAACATTCAATTAAAGAACCAATTAGCCACCAGAAGTCACAAATCAATGGATTTAATTTATTGCTGTTGTTATATTATTTAAATTTGTTTAAGACCTCTTATCCAGTTGAAGTATATTTTAGCTAGGAATAACATAAAACTTTAACCCAGGTTAATGGATCAAGAAAAAGTAGGGAAAGAACAAATGTAAAGATAGGGGACGAAAAATTAGAAGAAGTGGCTGATTTAAGATATCTAGGAAGTCAAAAAAGTCAGGACGGAAGGAGTAGTAGGGATATAAAGCAGAGGATAGCGCAGGGTCGAGTCGCCTTCAATAAAAAGAAGTCACTTCTATGCTCGCGA